ATGATATAATGATATGAATTTATCATACTGTGGATGGACAGAATCCCTTTCGCACCACCTAAGAAACCGTGGCAAACATTCTTTGTTGGCATTTACAGGGAATAATTAAAAGTCAGGGTTTCCTACATGGTGCAGGATTTCGTCCATCCACAGTATGATATAACCATGGGGTGTGTTAACCTCGTAAAAGCCAAGGGCAACAAGAGGACCAAAGTCCCAACCACCAAAGTACCCACTGAATCTCAGTGAAGCAAGCCCCTATAGCAGCTGAGGGCTCACAGGATTTCGTCAAAAGTTGATCAGTTTACTCGCAGTTTCCATGGAAACGATCGCTTGTCCTTTCGAGGCTCCCTTGGCCACCCAAGGACATGGAACTGGGCTACCCTTCTGGTTTACCCCACTTGAAGTTTGGAGCGACCCGAACATGAGGTCCATTCAAAACCCAAGCCTTCCCTTCAAAAAACCAAAGCCAAAAGGGAGTCCCCTCACCCAAACAAAACACGACAAAGCACACCCATCTATCCTTCACTTGGAGATCCCGAGGTCAACCTCAGGAATCAGAAGGGACCGCCTCGCCCCAAATATTCGCGCCGGCATGGGAGGCGTGCGATGAGACAGCCGCAAAGTTTTTCCGGCTTCAGGACACATGCGAAACATGTCCTCACATCCAAACCACAAATCAACGGAGGTGGCCTTCGTCGGTTTGTCTTTGAAGTTGGCAACTTGACTTTGGGGTAGCCACTGTTCACACGGAAGGGGACCTATGGGGTGTTCCTCAGGTAGCCTTATGCTCATTGCCAGCAGAGTTTCTCCAGGTTGCAACCAACCCTGCCGGAGTCGGGGATTGCCAACAGGAACCCGTGGCAGCGGCAAGGCCCTGTGTTAGACCCAACAAAAATGGCAAGAAGCCAGCTTCGGTCGATTTCGTTTCGGCCATTTTGGGGGGCTTGCAGGCAAAACGTTGTCCCATTTTCCTTGGGAACAACAAGAACAAAGCCGCCAGCCAATGCTTGCCTTGAAAAGAAAACTGCACCTTGCTTGATTTGAAAAAGGAACCCCTCCCAAACGTTGAGGGCTGTCCATCTTCATCGCGCAACACCGCGATGACCAAACCGCCCGACACGTGCCTCCTCAGTGCCATGGATGCGGAAGCCACGCCCAGTCACCTCCGTCGAGATGGGAGACGGAGGATGCACACCGGTTGAGTTTCGGCCCGACCCAGAAACCCAGCACAGTGAGCAGGGCAATGACCCTCCCAACAAACCTACAAGCCGACATCAGGGTTTTGGAGGACTTCTTTCCTGGTGAGGAAGCCCCCTGTCTTCCGTGGATTCTTGGAAAGAGTGTACCAGACATATTCCTTTTGGGGTTTCACGATGTTTCGTAGCCAAACTAAAATCGGACATGGGGAAAGGAGGCCACCTATCAGCCACCCATTTGTTTGGAGGGCTTTACCTGGGCTGTCCTCAGAAGTGACAAACGTTTGGTGGGTTCAATAAACAACCCCAACCACGCAACCGCTTAAAAAGCGCAAAAAAAAACAAAACAAGAAACCGAACCAAGAAAACCACCCATCCAAACATATCGCTCGGTCGGCCTCAAAGCTGCTCCGCTTGTGCCCCACCTGAGCCAAAGACTTTCTGGCTCATTAACTCATTGGATTTGGTCTTCTGGGGACAAATCTGACCCCAAAAAATGGCCGCGCTCCTTTGGGTGTCCATTTAAAGCCAGAAAAAGACACACCCAAGATCCATGCCGATTGTTGACCGCCTATTTGACCCTTGCTTGGTTGGGGGGGGGGCTCGAGTGAAGTGGGCGGCCCACGTCAATTAGGGTCTTCGCCATATTGGCAATAAGGAACTACGACGTTCAGAGGCTACATCCCACATTTGGCTTCAAAAGGAAGTGGGGGTCAAATCCCCAAACCACCAACTAAGGGCGACTGAAGTCACCCACTTACCTGACCTGGGCGGCCGCAACATCCAAGCATCAGTCGCCCTGAGCAAGCTTCCAGCAACGGGCCTACTTCCTTTGAGCTCGGAGCATTGGAGTTTGGCCCTGGTTTCAATTCACCTTGAGGAATGCAAGCGGGCCAAACCTACCACACCCTAACACAATTGTCCGGGGTGTGCTTGGCTGTGGTTGGTTTTACTTTGAAATACTCAAAACTCCCCAAAGACTTTTTGCTAGAGTATACGTGTTGAAAGGATTGAAGAAACGCACCTCCCCCCCAAAAACAAAAAGGAAAAAAGAAAGACACGCACCCCCCCCCCTAAGAAAAAGAGAGAAAAACATAAAAGAAAGGTCCCCCAGCTATTGGTGCCCTTGTCAACCGTTTCTTTTTTGGTTGGGAGGTTCGAGACCCCACTAAAATAGACGTCCTGAAAAAAGATGGTACCAACTTATTCTACCCTCTCTACTGCAGGACCTAGTTGGTATATTGTTCTCCAGTGAACCCCGCCTGGGGATGCCAATCCCAGTGGAGCCATGGCGGCAACAAACTTGGCTGGGAACGGTCGACGAAGCAGCCTGACTTGTGACTTGTTGGGCCGTCCAGTGCACATGCAGTTGTCACTTGTTCTTCGTGTTTTTTCTTTTTCTTCAAACCAAACCCGCAAAAATTGAGGGCTACCCGAAACTAGACCTGGAAAAACACTCAAGCCACCCGGAAAAAATTGGGTTCTGGCCCCGGAAATATGGGCTGCTTTCCATTTTTTTTCGAGGAAAGCGCGGCCCAGTGGCACGTCTTTTGGGCTCCGGGATCCATCGCCTCCGGGCAGCCCCACGTCGATATGCGCCTGGCAGTCCTCGAGCAGCACCGTCTGCCTCACATCCCCCTTTTGGCTGACACGTGTGGATGGGTCCGGCACTTTTTTGCCGGGGGGCCTCGTTTGGGCGGCTTTGAAAAGGGAAACACGCAACAAAAGCATGGGGAGGGGGTGTTAACTTGCGCGAGGTCCCGGGGAATAGTTTGCAGAAGCGTTCTAAGGGCTTCAGAAAAAATAGCGCACACCACCACTCTTCCAGTGCCTCAAGCAGCTCAGATTACGTTGTTTCAACAAAAAACACAAAGGTTTTCAACCGGTAACCCCACACGCCAAGACCGCTTGGACCATGCCACAGCATGCCGTTTCAATGCTATCCGGGCCAATCAAGCCTTGTGCCAGCAAAACACACGCCAAACAAGGACTCCAAATCTCTGTCAAAACATGCGGACATACCTTAGCAAGCTTGTCTCGGGAAGCGCTGCTCCCATTTGCTCCGAGCAGTGTTCTGGAATAGGGTAATGCAAGTGACTACATCACGATGGCGCAGCCCTTTTCCTTGGGGAGTTGCAGATTTCTGAGGATAATGCTCGCTTGTAAGTTCGCCTTCAGGTTTCCAAAAAATGGATGAGTTTGGAATGTGCCCCAATTTTAGGCTTGCTTTTCTCCACGTCTTAGCCTGAGCTTGGAGATGTTCCAAGCTCTCCAAACTTAAGCTCGCTTTCTCCTAACTCAGCCCTGAGAAATCAATTTGGGGGTCCTTAAAGTTGGCCTTTACTCAGCCTGAGTTTCGAGATTTGCCGAACTTAGTCTTGTCTATATTGACCAAACAAAACCCTTGTTTGACCCATTCAATTTCCATCGAAAAGCGGATAGTCGCCACCAATACATTTGCGAAACGCGTCTTCGCACGCAAAGCCAGGCGAGTTTGCAAAACACGGGCCTGAGCGTGAAGATTATCCAAACTCAAGCCAACTTTGGAGAAAACAGCCCTGACTGAGTTTGGAGAATCATCTCAAGCCCGGGCCGAGTTTGGAGAAACGAACTGAGTTTGGAGAATCTCCAAACGCAGGCCCCAGTTTGCAGAAAATGGGCCTGAGTTTGAAGAAGACTTGTCAGTCCTGGTTAGTCCAAACTCTTTGTACGAAGACAAGAAGCTCTCCGAGTTTGGAAAATGGAGGAACAGGGCCCGAGGTTGGAGAATCTCCAAACTCACCCCGATTTTGGAGAAAACGGGCCTAAGTTTGGAGAATCTCCAAACTCACCCCGATTTTGGAGAAAACGGGCCTAAGTTTGGAGAATCTCCAAACTCACCCCGATTTTGGAGAAAACGGGCCTAAGTTGGGAGAATCTCCAAACTCAGGCCCGTTTTCTCCAAACTCCTTTTGTGAAACACGCGAAGAAGCGTTCGGCAAGTGTTTTGGTGGAGAAAATAAGCGTTCGGATGGAGATTTTCAGGCAAAATAAGCGTTCTGCAGGAGAAAAATACATTGACATTTGGAGTTTGGAGAATCTCCAAACTCAGCCCGAGGTTGGAGAAAACGGGCCCGAGCTTGGAGAATCTCGGAATCTCCAAGCGCACCCGAGTTTGGAGGAGATGGGCCATCGTTTGGAGCATCTCCAAACTGAGTTTGGAGAATCTCCGAACGCAGGCCTAAGATTGGAGAAAATCTGTCCGAGATTGGGGAATTTCCAAACTCATCCCGAGTTTGCCAAAATTCGATACTCAGTTCGAGTTTGGAGAATCTCCAACCTCAGGTCCGTTATTCCAACCTTGGGCGGTGCGCTTGGGGATTCTCGATACTCGGGCCTGAGTTTTTGGAGAACTGCAAAGTCATCCACGGTTTGGAGAAAACGGGCTGAGTTGGAGAAAAAAAGGCTGACTTTGGAGAAAAGGAGCCTGACTTTAAAGAGTGAACGCAGGCCCCAATGGGCCTGAGTTGGGTGAAATTTCTGAAACGGGCCTGGGTTTGGCAACTCGGACCCGGATTTGGAAATCTTCAAACTCGAGCCTGAGTTTCCCCAAACTCAGGTTGAGTTGGGAGAAATTGGCTAGAGGCTAGAGTTTGGAGATTACGAGCCTGAGTTTGGAGTATCTCCAAACTGCCCTCACTGAGTTTGGAGACAACGGGCCATAGTTGGGAGATTCTCCAATCGCAACAGCCCGAGTTTGGAGAAACTGTCGAAGTTTGAAATTGGTTGGGACTTAGCGGACTCAGTTCGAAGAAAAAAAGACCCGAGGAGTCGTGAGTCTTGACATGTTTGCTGCTGCCTCCTATCACCCATCTCGGTGATGAGATCGGAGACTGGGACTGTTTGCACCAAACGCGGCACACTCATGCCCCCTCATTTGCGGGGTCTCAACAAATGAACCGAATTTCTTCATATGGCGCTACGGGTGCGCAGAAACTGACGTTAGCCCAACTTTGTTCAATTTCAACCCTGGGTTTGGAAAGTCGAGCTCGGTTCCCGACCTTGTTGCAAGGCCTTGTCACAGCAAGATGCGTTCCGGGCTTCCAACAACGGTTGTGAGTACAGGTTGCAGAAACGAAACGTGTTTGATCAAACTGGGGCATGAACACGACAGCTCACTTGGGGGCTGCTATTGCCCCAAGTGAGCCGCCGTTTTCATGCCCCAGTTTGATCAAGAGCGCTTCGTTCCTGCAACCTGCACTCACAGCCGTTTTGGGAAGCGTGGAACGCTTGTTGCTGTGGATTGCAAAAAAGGCCTGAGCTCGTGCAAGTTAACAGGAGGGGGCCTGAAATATTGACACGGTGGGGAGCTAGCTATACTTTCTTGAGAGGAAAATGCTCTGAGTGGTGTGATTTTTGTGTGTAAAGCACTCAATTCCCTGAATTTCTGAATAACCCCAAACATCACTGACTTCAGGGGTATCCTGAGGGTGGGCTATTGGCTAACCAGATCAAGGAGACACTGCACACGGGAAACCCCACAAAGGTCGCTATCCTTCCAAAACGGTACGTGTTAATTCTGGTTGCCTTGCTGGTGCTCAGTAGGGCATGACCATTCCGGGTTTTGGGAATGAACTGTTTGGGGATTCCCTTCAAAGGAACCAAGCCGCGAACAACAAAGACTAGGCATTTCAACGAAGACCTCCGGAAGAGGGAATCCATGTTCGTTTGGATTGCTTCAGATCGGGACAAGCGAAATTCTCGCTTTTCAGAGAAGAGAAAAGTGACAGGGAAAAGCCCTAACAACTCAAAAACGCGGATTGCAATCCGCCTCTCTTTCCTCGTGGCATGGGAACCGCAACGACTCAAGGCAATGGCAGGTTAGGACTGAAGGGGGGGGGGGGGTACGTGGTTGAATGCCCGGATGTCGCGGCGTGGCGCTTACATGCAATGGTGTGAACGCACTGACCCTTGCAAGAAGACCCCTCAGCAAATTCCCTGAAAGGAATACATGGGTATGAGTCAAAATAGGGGCGCTGTGGTTTCTATGTGCTTTGCTTTGAACTCTCAAAAGCCACGCGTTTAAGTGTGCTCCAACAACCCGCACTCAATGATCCATGCAAAGCTTGTACCCTTGTCTCAGCTGCCCCTTAGGACCTTCGGCTGTGCGCCGGGTCTACTCGCAGGCCGGCCATGCGAGTGAAAGCAATTGGCTGTAATTTTCTTCTGGCCAACTCACAAGCCTTCTCGGACAAATGCAGTAGAGCCATTTGCACCTGGCCCAATTCAAAGCAACCTGCTTCAATGGGTTTCTAAACGGTGATTCTTGTATCCAAGTGATGGGCTCTTTAGCTTTCTGCAGGGAAACAACAGGCGAGCCAAAAAGGTCAGGGGGGCCATGGGAAAAGGCCAGGGGGCGAATACAAGCTCCACGATTCACCAAAGTTCCAGGCCATTTGGGAGACTTCACAAACAATCGTGGGAAATCCTCCGGCCGTGGCGGACGCCTGGCAAAAAGGCACTCTATAAAACCATCAGCGGCAAAGAACCCAAAAAAAAACATCATTAAGCAGGATGGAAGGTTCCATTGCTCCCCAAAAGGAAGAATCACAAGAAGAATAACAACTGCCCGGCTGTCGGAAGCCTCCATACTGCTCGCTTGCTCGTGGTTGAATGGCCATCCCCTGCTCCGCCCTCTGAAAAAAGCGCGGCAAGACCCGGCCAAGTTGGCGCATGCCCTGATCCTTTGCCCCGGGCTACGCGCACTGGCAGGAAGCCAAACCCCCTCGCCGGGGACATTTTTTTGGAGAACGGGGCCCGGCCTGCCGTAGATGGAGCTGTCCTGGCGGGAAGCTGACGGTTTCGGGCGCAAGCAGGACCCGCGGGCTCCATGGAGCCCCAGGGATCCTTACATTATACACCTGAGCATTGCCTTGTACACACCTGAGCATTGCAACTTGTAAATGGTCGGTTGCCTCTATTTTGGTGGAAAAAGCCATGTTTCAAATGGGCAAAATGGAGATCTTTTAAGGAGCCCTGATGGCAATGGCGGGGTACTGGGCGATTTAAAGGGAAGCTTGAAAGCAGATGTGTCTATCCCTGTTCCACTTCAAGCCCTCGCCTATTCGGGTTGTCTTTTTTGTGGAAAACCCATCCAAGCAAAAGTTGAAAAAGAAAGCAAGTAACCCACCGAGAGTCTGGGGTGCCACCGCCCGGAGGCTTGCTGCCCGCTTGGTTTGCTGCCAACTGGGCCTGCAAAAAGATAAAACGTATGGCTGTCTGTCTCTGTCTCTGTCTCTGTCTCTGTCTCTGTCTCTGTCTCTGTCTCTGTCTCTCTGTATGTCCGTATGGCATGCGCGCATGCACACATGCACGCATCATGCATGTAAGAAAATGCAGATCTTGTCAATACACACCATGATAAGTACAAGGAAACGACACTAAGTGGGCAAGACCAACTTGTTTTGGGCCCGGTATCCCGGACAGGCTGTCTTTCTAGGCCGGTTGTTGGCAGCCATCAAACGCACCGCTGCTTGATCATTTTGAGGCGGGCTGTTGGCATCGGGTGAGAGCGGTTAGCCCCAAAAGCCGATGTTCCACAACCATGCGGTAGCCCAAAAAGGTGTTGCAGAAACTTACCATCCAAACAAACAGTTTTGGAGTATAGGAGGTTGCACTCTTGGGGACCGAATCAGGCAGATTCGGCATCCAAAACTAAACAACAAAACACCGGCTCGATCCTGGGCTCCTTTTTCCCCAACAGCTGAAAGCTTTGGGGTCTCAGCCCAGATAGGCTCCGGGGTGGTCCAGGGCGTTTTGAGGTAAGGTTCCACGGTGAAGTTCCACGAGGGTTCCACGACACCAGGGTTCCACCAGCGTTCCACCAGGGTTCCACCAGGGTTCCACGAGGTTCTGCGAGGTTCTGCGAGGGCTGCGAGGTGGGGCGAGCACTGAAAAGAGCACCGCATGCTGTTGGGGATGTCACCTGAGCATAATGGTGTCCTTTTAGGGGAAATAGATGGATTTCCCTGGTAGATGATTAATTAAGCCACCAGGTAAACCAGGAATCGAAACCCATCCATTCTTCTAGCAAAACCACCCAAAAAGGACACCTATGCACCTGAGCTTCTTTTTTTCTTCGGAATCGGAGCTACTTCCCTGGCGGAATGGCCTTCTCGAATCCCAGGCTTTAAGGCCGGCGGGTTGTGCGTTCGCAGGAGCCGTTTTTGGTTCTGGATCTGCAGGGAGATGGCGAGATGCGGTGGATGGACGCGAACTCCTCTTAGGCACCACCGTTCAGAAGCCCTGGGATGGTCTGAACCCCAACGTAAATACCAACAAACAGTGGTTTCAACCATGGTTTCTTAGGTGCTGCGAAACGGATTTCGTCCATCCACAGTATGGCGACTGTCTCCTCAAAACCAACGCCCCTGTCAAACCGAACAGCCAACTTCGGGGTTCCTGAGGGCATCCTCTATAGGGTGTGCCAGCAGAACCAACCATCATTTGGCCCTGGGTCAACATCCCGTACCCCCAGTGAACATCCCAATCCCCACTAAAATAGACTAAAACGGGTGGTGCACCTACCCCAAAATGGGATCTTATCATTTTTGACCACCACGGCCGTTTGTAGGGCCTTCCCCTGTTTGGAGGATCCCAATTTGAACCAAAACCAAATCCCAAATCCCCTCCAACCCCTGGCGCACCCAGCAGGAGCTGGGGTGAGGAAAGCCAGCGGCCGCCAAATGAAGGCCCGCAACCTGACAGTTCGGAGGTGTCAAAAGAGAAACCTCCTACTCATAGGGGGTGGGGGCCCCTACAGCCATGAACCCTCAGCAAAAGGGGACACCCCACGAAGCATCAGAAAGCGGGTTCTGCTTCGTCCAGGGTTCTCTTGTTCCCTTTATCCGTTTGGTTCCATTTGGGTTCAAATGAAGTAGAATCAGAAAACGTCGCCTTCTGGAAGGGCCGACTTGGTGAAAAGACCTTGCACGTCTTGTTTCTCCAAATTTTTGAGGGCACAACGGACCTTAAGGGTGATTGCTGGGAATGGGAAAAAGGCGTCCATCGTCTTGTGAGAAGTTATCCTGGAAAACAATACCACGTGCGTTGCGGGTGAGTTCTTTTTGAGGCCCTTCGCTCAGGCAGCCCCTAGCACAAACACTACTGCACAATCCTTGGCAAAACAAACCTGACTGATTTGTGCAGCCCCCGCACTAAAATTGAGCAGAACCAAAAAACACCATCCAAAACACGCCAAGATCGTCTGCCCTGGCCATGTTCCGCAAATTGCTACAAGTTGCAAACTGGAAACTCCCAGAAAGGGACCTTGAAACTTCGCTCGTAACCCCGAACCAAGCTGGTTGCAAGTTGCAACAGCACTGCTGCGTTCGAATCCAAAAAATGGAAAGTCCCACAATGATTGCTTTCCCGGTTGAATTCCCTCGTTGCCTCTCCAAATGGGGGAGCCCCAAAATGGCTGATTTCCACTTTTCGCTTCCCTAACAAACCGAAGGAAGCCCGGTGCCCTCCCAAGAAAGACACACCCCAGTGTCTCACAACCCATGTCTCACAACCCATGTCTCACAAACCCGCTCTGTTCCCCTAGTAGCCTGGGTCCATTTTGGAGGCGCATGTTTGCGGGAGCTCCCCCCAGCTTCCCCACAAAAAAGGGTGGATGGGCGTCCTGGCAACGGAAGCCCGTCACTCCCGCCGGCAGGCTGCCTACGCGCAGAAGCCCCCATAAACCCCAATACATCTCCATAAAACCTCAAAAAACGACCCAGAACACCCCCACAACCTCCTTATAACCGCCCCCCTATAACCCTCTTATAACCCCCCTCTAAGCCCCCTAAAAACCCCCTATCGCCCCCCCCAAAAAAAAACAAACCAACCCCCAAACCAACCCCCAAACCAACCCCCAAACCAACCCCGAGCCCCAACCAAAAAACCCCGCCCGTCCCACTCGACCGTTCCCAGGGCCGGGCCATGAAGGCTACCGTCATCACCAGCCGCTCCTCGCCGCCTCCGACGATTTCGGACGAAGGACGGAGCGAAGGACGGCGGAGCTGGGCACCCGGATCGGATCGGGGTGAACCTCGGGTTGACCGGGGTCTACTTGTTGGATACTTAAAGGATTAGAATAAGTTGGTATTAGAATAAGTTGGTTTGATACCAACTTATTCTAACCATATTATACCCCAGGGTAGACTTAAGATACTTAAGGTTTTAACTACCTTTTTGACGAGGTAGGCCCACGACTTTGCATTTTCATCCCAGTTCACCAAAGCAACCACTGATCTTGCCCATTTAAAGTTTGAGAATAGGTCGAAACGCATTTTCACTTTAAGGTTCGAAGGCCATGGGTTGAAGAACTGGGTGACAGGATCCTACTTGTATAGGATAGACTTAAGATACCTAACATTTTCCAGCTTTTTGACTACAGGAGATTCGAAGCCATGGGTTGATCGAATTGTGAGGGTGCCGATTTTGGGTTACAGGGTAGACTTAAACCCAGGCTAGACTTAAGGTTCATGTCCCCTCAAAAAAAGGCGGAGACACTACCCCAGGGTAGACTTAAGGTTCATTTCCCCTTAAGAAAACGAAACCATGGGTTGACCGAGTTGTGGGGCTGTTGATTTACTTTTCTAGGTCCTCCATACTGGTAGAGAGGTTAGAATAAGTTGGTACCAACTTTTTCTTTCTGCAGTCCATTTTAGTAGGGTCCCGAACCCTCCCAACCAAATAAGAGAAACGGTAAACGACCACCACTGGACCTTTTGGAGTTGGCACACTCCAGCCGGAAGCTCTCAGAAGGCCGCGGTTTCAATTGGACCCAAGTCTTGCGGGCTCCCGGGAGCTTCTGGATCGAATCGCCGGGGGGCGTTTTTTTTTTTTGGGGGGGGGGAGGCCTGTGGTGGCCATTTGGTTCAAAGGGAAACCAAAGATAAACAGCGAAAAACACGACACTCCCAAGTAGAACCGGTTGATCTTGAGAGATGGGGGGTCCTTTTGATGAAAAATTAGACCACTTTTCTGGGCGTCCATTTTCAGACCCTCTGCTAAAAGTTGTTCACTGTTAGTGGTTTAAATGGAAACCCCACAAAACCCTCAAAGATCAGGGGATGGCTGGCAGCCACTAAGTTTTGAAGGGGGGAAGTCCTAAAAGAATGGGACAGCCAGCGTTCAGTACTCAGGACTAGTCACGAGAGTTTCCTAAACCACCCGCCAAAAGGGTACCCTCAAAAAAAGACATCCACCTTTGTATGTTTCACTATCCAAATGTCGAAATCAATATCCTATTCAATTGCTGTATGTATCGAGCTGCAAATTCATATTTGGATTGATGTGTTCGTGTGCCTGCACATGTGCAGATCTTCCATTGTCCAGATTTACCCCCAAGAGGGAATCTGCGCTTTGCCAGTTGCTTGAACATCTGTGGTGCAGAGAAATAGTATGTTCTGGCTCTGTTCCATATTTAGCCGACCCTACAGAAACCTGTTTTGCTTGGGAGACCCATACTGGTGTCTCTCAAAAAAAAACTCCAGGTGGTTTGCTTTTGGTTTCATTTTGAGCCCACCCAAAGCTCGGTTGCTTTCTGCTCCCCTGCTAAAAGTTTAACTCTTAGTGGTTTAGTGGAAAACCCATTAGTTGGCAAAAAGTTAAAGTCCTAACAGCCAAGCAAAATGCACCAAAGAAAAAGCGGTCTCAACACAAGACACCCCCAAATGGCTGAACATTCCTACCCCTCCCTTTCGCTTCCAGCGGCTGTTGAGGAGGGACGTGTAGCCCCAGCGCGCCGCGAAGCGGTAGAAGTCGCTGGCCTCTCAGTTTAGCAGCAATCCTTACATTATACTGCTGAACATTGCCTTGTCAATGGTGGTTACCCTTTATTTTGGCTTTTTCCACATGTTTCAAATGGGCAAAATGTAAGGAGCCATGTTTAGTCCATGGGGTGTTTGCCATGATGAAGTTCGATACTGTGGATGAACGAAATCCTGCACCACCTAAAAAAACCCTGGAAGATGTGATTCCCAAAATATCCTGCAAATAAACGAAATCCATTTTGCACCACCTGACAAACTTTCAAACACTGGAAGGATTCGATTCCCAAAGTTGTCTGAATTTGATTTCGCGACCATACACAGTATCAAGGCAAAAAGGTGCTTCTCTCAAAAAAACGCAAGCTTGAAGTTTGTCGCGTATGCAACATAGGCATCGCACCGATGCCCTCCATTGTAGCGGGAACGGGACCTCCATTAAAAGGTTTTGGACCTCAATCCAAGGGCCATGAGGAGGGCCCACATATGTAAGCCGTGATTGTTTCCAGGTCCAACGGGGCGAAACGAGCTCCGACAAGAGCACCCCTTTTGTGTGCGCTGGTTGCTCTTTTTCCGGAGGGGGGGGGGGGTTCCTGAAGGCTTACAAGCAAATTGTAATGTCGACCTCGGATTTCACAACCTCAGTTGCCCAAAGGAACCTTTTGGGACTATGACTAAGAATGGACCAAAAGGGGAAGATGTTGAAAGGTTGGCTTTGGGCAAAGGAGCAGCTTAACGTCGACCCCCCAATCCCGGCAAAGGGCCTGCAGCAGCAGTCCATGTGGCCTCGCGGACACGGCCACCTGAGCCAAGGCTCTGCAGGTTAGGTGCAGGATGTCGTCCATCCGCAGAAAAACCGCCATTCTTTACCTAAGAGTTGCCACCATCCAATTGCCATTCTTTTAGTGGGGGCAAGGAACCCTATAGGATACAGCCCTCCTTGGACGGACACTGGCAAAGGTACTGAACATGTGTTATGGCCGCCTTCGTAGTACGGCCTGTCAACACCGTCACCGGACGTGGACGGAGTCAACAGCTGCCGCAAGCAAGCCCAAAAGTTCATGTCCTTCTCGGTAGGATTGATTTCAGGGGCAACCAAAGAAAATGAACCAGTTCTGACTCCTTCCCAATTCTGTTTCATCAATTAAAGAGGGCCCTTTTCATACATGGGCTTGTCCCAAAATCGGAGTACCTTAAAATCTACGAGGGATTGCCTTTGTGTTCCATGATAATCCGGGAGAGCCAATGGCCTGCCCAAAGCCATGGCAAAGAACTACCAGGGCGATTTACTCAAGCCCCCCAGCGGCCATACGGAAAAGACTGCTCTCCCTTTTTGATACATGAGTTTAACGAAACACCAATCCAAGAAACAGAAAAATACCTCACAATACCTCCATTTGATTCAGCCCCTGGAAAAAAACCAATGGTGATAGATTCCCTCTAAACCCACAAGGAAAACAATGTATATACCTAAGCAAATGGAAGACTATGGTTCCTGTTGATGGCTCAAACCAACGGCTCGCTGCGCTGGGGTCTTGCCTCGCGCCCGCCGCGCAAGGCTTGCCACGCCAGCCTGAATTGCAAGGCTGGTGTTTCTCACTCGGCGGTTTGGACTGGCGGGCTCGGGGCTTAGGAGGCAGCCTTCCACTTGCCAAAAAGCAGCAGCAGGTTAGACCCACCCAGCCACCAAACCAAGCCACTTGGGTTGCCTGATTCTTGATTTTTTCCGGTAACAAACAACACTAGAATGGGGTTGTCCCTCAAACTACATTTAACAGAGGATGGACCGAAACCTGGTGCCGCGTGCCAGAATTGCCAACGCCTCTTCACGCTCTAGACAGATCTTCGCCGTGGGAAAGGCAAAGAGCAACAAAAAACCAACTAAGAGCCGACCAAACAAGCAAACCTTGCGAACACCTCAACCTCAAGCGCGCCTTTTCTTACTCGCATCTACAAGCGACTCTCCACACAATTTTGCAGCCTCTCAAACAGCTAGAACGGTCCCCTCCAGGGGCCGGGCTCCAGCCACAGTTCTGCGGCCCTTGCATCGGGCAAATTTTCACCGGAACCACAACTTCAGAAGACCCCAGGCCCCAGGTGCCAGCTTTAGCAGACCCCAAAAATACTGAAAGAAGGAAAGACTGAAAGTGGGGGAGCAAGCCAACCTTGGCAGGGATTTGTGACTGGATTTACTGGGCTTGGGTGGTTTGCTTGCAATTCACTGAGGCACCCCGTGTCTTTCCAGGAGCCAAAGCCCCTGGTGGCAACCAGCCGGGGGGGCTTGATCTCCGCCAGGGCAGGAGTCTGAAGGGCGCCTCTCCAGCTTCATAGCAGCCAGGTGAAACGAAATCGGACAAATGCGCTACCCTGTTTGTGGCAGGGAACGTGTCTTAAAATTCCACATGAACAAGGGGAACCTCATGCCAAAAGCCAAAACCCTGCCCCGTCTCCTTGATAGACAAGGCGAAGCCGTGTCAAACTTGGATAGTCGCCCGCCGGAAAATCTCTAACCCTTCGAAGCCGAACGCAGGCAGGAGCTCTCTTGAAAACACTGTACTTTGCTAGACCGTCGCCGGGTATCTATCGGCAATTAACCATAAACTACAGAACTTTCCGCCCCACCAAGTACAAATCAAGCACTAAGCCAAATTTATAAGCCGATGTTGCATGAATGCTCGGCCAACAAAATCCGAAGAAGTGACGCGTGCTTCTGCCGTTTGCACCCCCTGCCCGGAAATCGCCGCGTTAAACAACTCTATTTGGACGAGAGCCAAAAGGCCAAGTCTAATTCTGAATCAGCAGCACCGAGACGACGTGTGGCGCTAACCCGGAGTTACTTAAACAAGGCTAAGCGGCTGCGCCCGCGCCTGCGTTTGAAAACCTTGTTTGGCGCCGCCAGACGCGTGCGCGCGTCTGGCGCCAACCTTTCGTCGCAAGCCCCAAGGAGCAGCGCGCGGAAACAACGCGCGCGCGCAAAGCATGCCTCGAAGGAAGCGGCGCAAGCTCGCCGGGCAAGACTTGGACTTGCGGCGGACAGGCAAAAAACCACCTCACGATTGGCGCAGCACGCCAGCGTTCTAAGCGAAGCCTCGCTCCCCAACCACGCTTCCGCCCCCATTCAAATACACCTTTAAAACTCAACACGATGTCAAAAGCCAAGCTCCGGAGGTTGCTGAGAAATTGCTTCTTAGTCACAAGAAGTCATGGCAAGGGTGGTCACGGCCTGTGCGACGCCACGTAGTTGCAATGTGTCGGGTGGATTACTGTATTTGCTGAGATCTCCTGAGGACCTTGCAGGCAGCGGGGAGGCCCTTCTTGCCTGACAGGTGCGACTCAAACATTGTGCCACAAGAAACGCCATTGAACGGCAGCTGCGATGTGTGTTCTTCTCAGCCTGACACCCAGAAAACCTAGCTCATGCTTCAAGAGACTCATTGACCCATCCAGGAAAACAAAGGGAAGGGACCCCCCCCCCGGCATTACTTCAGGGGCCCCCCTAGTTCTGAAGGGGACAAAAAGTCTGTGGGTCCACAGGGGTTTGAGTAGCATCATTTGCACATACTGAAATCCGCCAACCATTTTTTCAGGGTCGTGAAAACTTTACAATGTTGACCCCGGATGAATAAATTTGTCCTATGGTTTAGTCGGGTTTCATCAGCTTTGGAGGCAACACCCTATGAATAAAATGGGTTTACGAACCTGGGGTCAACATTCGCCATATGGGTGTATTTGTGTTGAGGGTCGCCTTTTTGTGGGTGGTTTCGCCACTAACATGGTCCAACCCCAAAGTGAGAAGTGAGAAGTGAGAAATAGAAACCAACCACTCAGTTGTTCAGTGACCCTGGAAAAAAAGGGAACCTTTTTTGGGAAGACCATTTTAGTGGGGCAGCCACCCAAAAAAAAGGAAAAGGGGGCCACTGCACAACTGAGACCAGGAACGCCATTTCGGGGGGGGGGATTCGATTCCCCAAACGAGGAGCCGATCTCGCGCCGCTCCACGGCTCCCGGGACTCCGGGCAGGGCGGCGCGGTCCAAGTCAGTGGCGTGCAACGCACCTGGCGTTTTCGGCAAAGGGGCAGAGTCCTCCGTTTGGGGGTTGTCCAATCCTGCAGCGTCAAGCGGCCCATATTTGTTCAGTCGGCCAGAAAAGTGTGACAAACCACATTGAGCAAAAACAAGTGTTCAAATGAAGGTGCAGGATATTACTTCTCCAGAAACTATTTGGGCATGCGCAAAACTAACCAGTTGCCCGGATGCATAAATCGAAGACATGCAGTTGCGGAGGGCCCCCATTTGCGAGAACTCGTCCCCTGGACTTAACTGCAGCGGTCTTCGAGGCTGTGGCAAGGAAAAACCCTACGAGGGAGAAAAAACTTTGGGCAGCCAAGTCCAAGCACGAGTTTCAGCCCCCTGGAAAAAATACAAATATGCCCAGTAGTGATAGGTTCCCTTTAAAACAAACAATGGAAGACAACACATATATTCTTAATGGAAGGATTTCCGCACCCATGGCGAGCTTGATCTGCACGCATGGACCAACGAGGTAACACATTAAAACGCAGAGAGACGGAAAGTAGAAACCTACATGTATCAAACTTACCTTCACTCGCCCTTACAGGATCCCTTACTTTGATTGCTCCCAGGTGACACAGGTAACAAAAAATGAAACCCGTTTCGGTGGATTTGTTCAATCTTCATTGGGGTCGTGCCAAAAGGGGTTTAGAGGGCGCCACCGAACAACGCCCAGAGCTCTGGTGACTTCTGGAGGAGAAAGCCCTTTGGGTGGAAACCTACCATCCTGCTGGTGCGGCCGGTCCAGGCCGCACATGATGTTCAGCTTCGTGAAAACCACGTGAAACCAAAACACGTATATCACTCCCTACACTCACAGTCTCAAACCCTTCCAAACCAAAGCAAGCGCTTTTCAGGCGCGATATGAGTCATGATCAAAACCCGGTATTAAAATAGTCTACCCAGAACCACGTAAAGAATCAAGAAGGCGGCCGCAGCTATTTATGGTTGGGATTATCCCTTACTAACCTTCATCTTGCCGGGTTTCGGTATGATTTGTCAGGGCATGCCGCCCAAAACATTTTGGTCTTTCAAGGTTTAAGGACTCAAACGGAGGCTTCTAGTTCTCCACTAAATTGTCTTGTGTGTGCGTAAAACAGGAACACCCTTCCTTTGTGGATGACTTCTCCGTCAAAACGCTTCTCCGGCCTGCGTGGGAACGGCGGAAGGGTTTCAGCAACGACTGGAGGGCCTAGCGCCAGCCGAGAGTCTTTCAATCGACCTCAGCTTGTGCCAAGAACGCTTGGAGTCGGGGATTTCCACGCTTGGGTTTATCCCAAAATGTGGAAACCTGCGACAGTGACGTGCATTTGGGCGTCGGCACGCCTCCTCCCTCAGGCCTTCCGACTCTTGGCGCGGGAAATAGGTGCGTCGAGAATGCGCCATAGTCCAGTCCAAAAACAAGCCCAAATCAAGGGCTGACTGTGCAAACATAATATGAACCATATATCTGTAAAGCTTCTTGCGGGGAAACATCAACTGTTCGGCCCCCAAATGGCTAAGAAACATGTGGGCCTGTGTCAAAAACGGGGTGGCCCGACAAAATGGTGAATTTTCCATTTGGTCTCTCAAGTCAGAAGTCAGAAATCAAGAAACGACGTATCCTCGAAAACAAACGTACCCATATCTGACCCACGACACAACCCACCCACCGTCCAAAACCCACCGTTCGGGCGCAGAGAGCAAGGCCGCGACCCGCGCCTGTAGCTGCAAGCTGTCTTTGAGCATTGCGCCGGCCCTTTGCTCGGAGAGTCAGGCTGTCCAATGCGCTTACTTGCTGACCTGACCTAAAAAAGGAGCTGAACATAGACGAAAAGTTTGGGAGCTTCACTTAAAAGAAAGGAACAGCAAAAGGCTGAAAGGTTAGTTTTTCACAGCTGAGGGACCGGAAAAGACTTGAGAAAGGGTAACGTAATCTCCACGGTTGCCACGCTTGCCTCACCAAACCTTGTCACCCTCCCTCCCCCGAAGACAAACCTCAAGCAACCCCCTCAGGCCCGCTATTAAGATAAGACTTGTGAACGCAAGGTTGCGCCAGGGGCGCTCGCAAAACGGAAGCAAAAGGCAGCAAGACCAATTCCCTACCTGTTTAAAATTTGCAAGAAAGGGGTCTGGAGAAGTTCACAGAATACCCTCGGTTGCTTTCTGCTCCCCTGCTAAAAGTTTAACTTTTTGTGGTTTAGTGGAAAACCTATCAGTTGGCAAAAAGCCAAAGTCCTAACATCCAAGCCAAATGGACCAAAATACCCACTATTTCTTCTTGCATCCATGCGGAGCGTCCACCAACATGAGCCGTTCAGCACCGCTGGCGCCGAACATTCCACCGAGGTCGGTCCGCTGGTCGCCAAATGCCCGGCTCCCAAATGCCCGAACTGTCGATCGTGGAAAAAAAACACTTTTACCCTCATGTGTTTTTTCGCCCCCTTGGGGAGAAAAAAAAAGAATATGTCCAGCTGTGATGGATTCCCTCTAATACCAACAGGGGAACATGAGCATATTCATTTCAGCACGGTGACCTTTTGCCAGGCTGGCTAGAAAAAGTGACAAAGTGACTCGACTTCTTGGGCCCTGGGCGGTTGCACACGGATCTGAAAAAGCATCAGGCCCTCTTTGATTGGATGTGTTTTCTTGGGGAAACCTCTTAGGGTGGTACGTAAGGAAATGCGAGGGACAGCGGGCCTCCTTTTTGGAGGACGGGAGGAGGCTCCCTTGTTTGGAGATATCCCCACTTTGCGGAAGGAAAGTAAGAGACAGAGAAATCATTGAAGCCCTTCGTAAAAAAGGGGGCGAGCCAAGACAAGCACGCCGGGTGTCTTGCGTTTCCGGGGCAAAGCGACAATCATCCCGGTTAAGTCTACCCTGCCCACAATAGAATGTGGGAGATGTTGTCTAGGTCCCCCAGTAGAGAGGTTAGAATAAGGGTACCAACTTTTTCGGTAGTCTATTTTAGTAGGGGAACCCTCCCAACCAAAAAAGGCGTGAGAAAGGGCACTGCTGGAGGACCTAGACTCGGTCCAGGGATCCTTCTTTCTAGAAAACCTCCGGAAACCCATGGAAACGGCCGGTTTTGGAAAAGAACGATAGTTGGAAAGAATGGGGAATCAACCCTTAAAACAATAGCATGTGGGAGATGTTGTGAACCTTAAACGATGGATTTTGTTCAAAGTCGATTTAAAAGTAGGGGAACCCTCCCAACCAACAAAGAGGTTAAAAAGGGCACCACTGGGGGACCTAGTTGTGAACCTTTTTTGTTCAGAACGAATTGGGCCCGCGCTGAGACACGCCGCTGATCTTCCGCTCCAGCCTGAGCCGAACCGCGAACGGCGCGGTTCAGGCGCGAAGTGGAGCCCAAAAGTGAGCTGAGTCACAGATGGGTGTGGCTCAAAATTCAAGAGCTAGGGTTACGCGGTTTTTTCTTTGTTTCCATAGGGTTCTATTTTGGGGACCCATTTTTGACCCACAGCCATATGAAAGTGTTGCATCTAAAATAGTTTCCACTGCCCCCAACCACTACAACCCAAAGGGGAGCTAGTTGGGATACACACCCAGCCATGTAGGGGATATGCTCTCACGTTGGGGGATTACTTTTGGGCTGGAAACCAGCAATACAATTATCCATGGCCTATCCACATCTATGTGAATGTTGTTTTTTTTGGTTTTTCTCGGAGTGGCCGCAGCCGTTCTTTAAGCTGTCCAAAGATCACGTGTTGGTTTTGATGAGGTGGATCGGCTTCTTTGCAGATTGGCGGTTTTTTTGTTGGTCTCTTCGCAAAGCCCAGCGTTCCAACCCAATCCAAACCAATGGAAATGGCTTGGTTTTGCTTCTGGGTTGCCTTCAACATTACATGGCCTAACAGGAGAGACCCCCCCCACTGATCAGCCAGGGGGTTGCTTATCAAGGGTTGACATTGCGGCGTTCAAGATCGACCCCATTTAGGCCGCTGAGGAGCGCCTGAAACAAAACAACTAAGGAGTGCCTCGAAAAATCAAACACGGTACTGTACCCGTCCCGTTTTGGTGGAGAGCTCAGGCGATTTGGGGGTGTCTCTTTTAATAATGCCTCTTTTCTTGGTGGTTGCAAAGGGGGACCAAAAAACAAAAAACACGTTGCGGCATTTTGCAGGGGCCCAGAAGGACAAACCGACCCATTCGGGCACCCGAAGCAAAGCAAAACCGCAAACACCACAAGCCCCAAGCCCCTTTCCAGGCCGCGAGCTGCCTCTCGGACGTCTTTGGTCCGCAGCTCCTGCAGCATCACGGGCCTCCCGAAAGGTTGACCTGGGGGGAACCCTAGATCCCCTTAAACTTTCCAGAGGCTCCAATTCGATGCATTTCGGGCCCTCAAACAGCCAATTTTCCGGGATGTCTAATGGAGACATCCGGTCTTCCATTCAAAGCCGAAGCCGATCGGAGCCTCTGGGCACCCAGCAAAAGGGTCAAGGAAAACACACCTCGCCATGTTGACAGACACCTCCGCTAGGGTGTTCACCCTTTGGTACATTGCTTCAGAAAAAGGAAAGAGGTCAACTCGGACGTTCAAACCAAATTTGGCAAGTAGGTCATAAACATGCCGGCATCACTACTTATCACAGGGAGAACTGGCAACCTTCCGGCCACAAATCGCGCAACCCATCGGTCCTGCAAGCCATCCACTCACGCAGGCCAGCCTCTGGAGGCTGGCGCAAAACGCTGGGAGGTGCCGAAACTAAACCCGACTGTTCGGTGAAAGTGGGCGCAACTCGTGATTTCTGGCTCATACCTCCTGGTGTGAAACCAAACCAAACCGACCCTACCCTCTACTCCCCCCCCCCACACTTAAGCCTATGTCAGCAGCAAAGGCTCGTTTGATTGGTGTCGCAAAGGATCAAGACAGGTGTTTGAAGAGGCCTCCCTATTTTTGGGAAGCACCCACGTAAACCCGTTGGTGCGTAAGATTAGCAATAAACAACATCCTTTACGCCAAATACAACTTTGATCCATGAAAGCACATGTCACACAGTGTCAAATGCCCAAAGGAGCTCGAAATAAAAGGTTAACATTTTGGGGCCATGACCAAAAGTTTACCAACATTGAGAAGCAAAAAGGGGTTAAAAGGTCGGCTTTGGACAAGTGGGGGCTATCTACGCACCTCGTATTCAAATTAGAAAGGCCCATGAGTTTGGTTGATCAGGGAAGCCGAAGATGTTTGCATGAATCAAGCTAGGGATTTGGACCGTGGGTTTTCCTTTTCAAAGCAGCCCCAAAAAGGGTAGCCTCATCACCACTCCCATCTTGAGCCAATAGGTTCCTAAAGTTGACCCCACATACACCATTCTGGCAGAATATTACTATTATGGAGCCCGTACCCCCCCCCTCCTTTACCCCCCCCCCCCTTTAAGCTTAAAGGGCTTCTCTTGCAGGGGAGGCTTAGGAAGCCTTGCGGAAGCCTTGCGGAAGCCTTGCGGAAGCCTTGCGGAAGCCTTGCGGAAGCCTTGGGGAAGCCTTGGGGAAGCCTTGGGGAAGCTTGGCCTGACATTCGCCCTGCGCATGGCGGGAAAACTGACAAGAAATACCGAACCTGCAAATTAGGTTAAAGAAGCCTTGGGAAGCCTCACGGAAGCCTTAGAAAAGCCTTTAGGGAAGCTGGAAACCTTAGAGAAGCCCTAGGGAAGCCCTAGACAAAGCCGTACGGTCTCCTTGGGGAAGCATGTTTGCGGAAAGGTTGGGGGGACGCAGTACTTTCAGAAAAAAACAATTCGAATCTTATGATTTCCCTAGGTTAGGGGGACGCAGCAAAGTATTGCAGCTCGAATGTCCGATCAAAATCAAGGGGTCTCTTAGGTTCAGCTTAGGAAGTCTTAGGAAAAATGTTGCTATATCCACTTCCTAGCCACCCTAGGGATAGGACCTAACTACCTTAAGGGGGGGGGGGGGGTAGGGGGGGGGGTACAGGCATTCATAATACTAGGTCCTCCAGTAGAGAGGTTAGAGTAAGGGTTCCAACTTTTTCTGCAGTCTAGTTTAGTAGGGGAACCCTCCCAACCAAGAAAGGGGTGAAACAGGGCACTACTGGGGGACCTAGATTAGGTGCTCCCCCGAAAAAATAAAGCCTCCCCTAATCTGGGCTGTCCTCAGATCCCCCGTTTTACTTTTAGTGGGTCAAATGGAAACTACCACTAAACACTAAAAGGCTAACAAGCTAAGGGTGATGGCTGGGAGCCGCCAAGTAATCACCCAGATCCTTACTCGACCCTTCGGCTTCCTCCACTAAGTCACGAGGCGCAGGATACGACGAGGCGCGCAAACCCGGGGATCGCGCCAGGGCGGTGACACGCCGCACCGCCAATTCTTCACGCACCTGGCGAAGCTTAACGGGGCCGAGCTTCGCCTGCGGTATGCTATCCCCGAATGTGTTTAAGTAAACCAGCCGTCCAGGGAAGTAGGCAACAAGCAGCTTTTTGTTCGTGGCAAAATAGCTGCTGGTACATCCCGTTGAATCCCTGGTAGTGGTTTGGGACTACTTGGCCCTTGCAAAATGAGTTGGCTGGTGTGAAAAACCCAAAAAGTTGAAAGGCAACCGGCCCGATTAAGACTGGCAATGAGAACTGGAAACCATCTTTGGTTGCCGGTGGCCGCGTGTGGCTGATCTACCCGCGCGGCTGCGGCGAAGGGGGTCAACGACCAACCCAGCCCCCAAAACCCCCTCCCCCCCCACAAAACGAAAAAAAAAGAAGCCCTGACCCCCTTTTAAACGACCCAACCCAGCCCTAAAAACCCACCCCCCAGCTTCAGCCCAGTCCCAGCCCCTCCTCCCCACGCCACGACCCACCGACCCACCTGGCGCGGCGCCCAGGAAGCCAAGTCCCAGGCGCACAGCCACAGCACCACGCCTCGCTTCGGTCAAGTCGAATGACTCGACGACATCGGCTCGACGACATCGGCCAGCGCCGCATGGGAATGCGCCCGCTTCCTCGCCCCCGAAACAAGGGACCCAATGAAAGGCTAGCTTTTTTCAGTGGTGGGAGATAGTGACATAGGAAATAGACGGCTGTAATCACAAATCCTCCAAAAAATCCAGGCAGTACTAAAAAGAAGATCATAAGAAAGCCATGCAATGTAATGCTTATATTATAGAAGTTCTGGTTTTCTGGAGATATGATCCTATTTCCTGATGAGTATAATTCTATTCTTATAAGGACTGATATTAATGTACCGGAGATTCCAAAGATGAATTAGATAATAAATAATAGATTCCTAAGCCTTTATGATTACAATTTTTAACTAGTGAATGGAATAATATAGTAAAATAATATGACCTGGAAAGATAAAGTGGTTGATGATAAATCTTTTATTAGCTGTTATCTGTCTTTTTGCTTACAATAATATCTTTCTTTGTTGGGTTTCTTATGTTTCTGTGTCTTTTATATTATCTCCCGTTCATTCTCCTTTCATCTTGGGAACTCTTCAAATTGAGGATATTAAAAATGATAGAAGAGATACAGAGGTGACACATAAACATAAGATAAGATGGAAATATAATAATATGAATGAGGATATGTGTCTTGTGTCATCTCTTTTATCTTTCCTGTCTCTTGGTTTTCATCTTTTCCCATTCCTCTAATCCTATTCTCAACCGTTGACTGCAGGGAAAGGGCTTGAGGAGATGGAATGTGATTGTAGTGATAAGACTCATTCTGATGCATTCATATGATGGAGGATGCATCAGGCCACATTATCGAGGTTAGAATAAGTTGGTACCAACTTTTCTTCTGTAGTCTAGTTTAGTAGGAACACCCTCCCCCAAAAAGAGGGTGAGAAAGGGCACTACTGGGGGACCTAGAAAAGGTGATTGATCACCTTTTTGGGACCGAAACTAAACACGGGCCAAGGGAAAACCGAAAGGTCAAAAGGTCGATTCGCGGATTGAACAACTGAGTCTACCATTGGGTTCTTGCAGGGGATGCCTGTGAGCTGCATGCCCATATTTACCAGGAACCAGCGAGAATCTACATTAGATACCTGCGTGTCCTTTTAAGTTAGACTTATATATTTGGTTTGTGGTGATACCATGGTTGGTTTTAAAGAAAGCCAAAATGGGCACCAGCCAGTTTAGGGCGTCCCGTTCCTTAAAAAAACAACTAGAACTTATACCCATAACGATACCTGACCCCCTCAAAACAACAAAAAAGTGGGTGTCTGGGCCTTATAGCAGCCTCCCTGCAACTAGTTTTTGGAGCCAGCTGGTTTGATTAAGGAGTGGTTGAAGGGGTTCAAATCCAAATGCAAACCACCACTCCAAACCATCATCTAGCATCTGCTAGCATATGTGTCCTGACGTCTTCTTGAGACTGATATGCGTGTCTCGTGGACATTGCTGTACTGCACATTCTCTGCCTCCTCGAATCCAGGTGATGCGTGTGCCGCTAGCGCCGTTTGGGGGGTGAAAGCAGGGGGGTCTTTTTGCCACCATTTGTGAGAAAATTGGCGACCCCTCAAGAAGGAATCCTTCACTACAGGGGGGTCGATCATTTTTCCACCAAAGGTTGCAAAAAGACCCCCCTGGTTGAAACGGTCTAAGTGGTTCTGAGGATCTACTTTTCAACTAGACGATTTGGCTTCAATGGTCATCCGCATCTAACCTGGGGCCCGAATAAAGCTACTTCCTGCCTGCTACTTTCACCCGGCAAAAAGGTGGCCACCGATTGCTTTCCAGCAAACCCCGAAATGGTCATGAGCCCTATTTTTTCTTTCCGCCGGGGCATCCTTTCGGCTTCAACCCAGTCGACACTCGACATCGTCGAGCAGAAGCAACTTGGGAAGCAAATTCAAAACGGACTGACTGCTCAAGCCACGCCTATGGTCACGAACCCTGCGAAATTTAACGAAATTATGTGGCCTCCATGTCAAACGGCGTTAGCAGGAACACGCAGGACAGAACCACAGAGCTTCTTTAAGGAGACCCGGAGCAGTGCCCTTTGAGTTAGGGATGCATGCCGTACGAAGGGAAGCACCGGATGTTGGTAACCGGGAAGGGCACCAAGGAAGGCCTCTCTGGAGAAATGAAACGAACCTGTTCATGAGAGAAACGTGCATCTCCATGTGTCTTGAAAACAGTCCAAATGCAAACATAACTCTAGTGCAAAGGATGCGACCATTTCGGAATTTACGGTGCGCGCCCTTTTTCTCAAAGGGTGTCCACCCTCTTCCAATTGCTTTCAGCCCCCCTGGAAAAAAGGAACAAACTGCCCAGTAGTGACACATTCCCTTTAAAAGCGACAGGGGCGAGGAACACATATTCCAAAGCAAATGCCACCAGACTTACGGGGCAGTAAGTGGCAAGCCTGGCTATAACCCACTTGGGAGACTTACAACCACGCTAGGTGGGTTATAAGCATGGTTGTTGCCCACTTGCGAAGCACCCTGCCTTTTTCTGGGTGAATTATAAGATGCCACCAACCTGAAATAAGGTGCTTGGGGGCTATTCCCCACATAAACCACCATTTGGGCTGAATTCGGTCGTGTGAGGTCCTTATAATTCACCTTTTTTTAATAGTACTGTGGATGGACGAAATCCATTTCGCACCACCGTTCAGAAACGCTGACATGGTCTGATTCCCCTGTACCAATGAAAAATGGTTTCAACCATGGTTTCCAAGTGGTGCGAAACGGATTTCGTCCATCCACAGGTCTGTCATGAAGCCCCGTCCACCTCGGAGTTCGGGGGCTCCGGCAAGCCCCATCCTCCGGCTGCACAGCGATGCCTGACCGAAACCCCGAGTTTTCTGGAAGAGCCTGGCCTGGAAGAAGGGGACCACAGGCCAAAACAAACACTTTCGTTTGCCTGGTTAGTGGAAAACAATAAAAAAACCCAAAAAAGCAAAAAGAAAAAGAAAAGGGGAACTCATTCTGGGGAAGGAGCCTGGGAAAGGTTGCCCTCCTGTCCACGTTGCCATGGAACCCAGGGCAGCCTTTTTTTCAGGGAAATTGTCTTCCAGCGCTGTTCCTGGTGAACTCGCAGATGTTTGCCCTGATTTTGCGTAGCAAGGCGGAACATGAAATCAACAATAATTTTAAGGTCCCCTCTTTGTACGCCTATTTTCTCCTTGCCTGACCACTTGCGCCAAAGAGGCTATAGAGGCTCTCCTTTGGGGGAACCCACCCGTCTTGGTGATTAAACATTATTCTGCGATTCCAAGGTAGGACCGGGAGGGAGGGGGGGGGGTGCAACTTGGGGCTGCGCAGGCTTTGGCTGATCGGCTGTCTAGGGCAACAAGCAAGAACCTCCCAACTGCTTAACCTACATGTTTGTTGAGATGTTTGTTGGTTTGAAATACTCACTTGCCCAAAGGACCCAGAAATAAAAGGTTAACCTTTTGGGACCTTTACTAAAAATGGGCCAAAAACAGAAAACGAAAAGGTCAAAAGGTCGATTCGCTTTGGGCAAGTGAGAATGAGCATGGCTGGGACAGACGTTTGTGGAATTTGGGGTGCGGATTCAATCCTGGGGCTTCCTTAGACCGTTGAAGACCACAAAAGACTGAGGCAGACGACCCACTTCTCAGGCAAAGCGAAAAGTGAATAACTTTTTGTAGTTTAGTGCGGAAAACCCACTAGTTGGCAAAAGGTTAAAGTCCTAACAGCCAAGCAAAATGCACCCAAGAACTTGTTGCTTTACCCTTTTGATCACCCTTTTGATCACTAAGATCCCCCTCCTGCCTAACATGGAACCTGAGGTTTTGGGGTCTGACACCTTCGCACCCAGTTGCAAGAATGAACCTGTTTCGTCCACTTTCACCTGCACGAATGTCTTGGGATATGGCAGTTGTAGAAACTGAGCCTTTGCTTTCATGATGGCCCCCGGGGAGCCCCCGAAGGGAGGAAAAACGTGGCCTGTCTTGGGAAAGACTCACCCCATTCCAAAAGGTTGATACCTTTTGGATTTCACCTTGACAGAATGGAGTTAAAAAGCACAGCTCCGTTTACTGGTGGGTAAACCTTCATCTGAAACCTGCAATATTCCAAACTCTGTTGAAGGCGTGTGAAGAATTATTCAAGCTAATGAGGGGCAAGCACAAGACGTCTACACAAAGGACATGAGGCTGTCCTATGAGGCAAAGGTCAAACAGATCTGGGTGACTTCCCTTGGGGGGACCCCTCAAAATCGGGTATTCCGTTTGGCTTCCCTTCAACACTATCCAAAAAGGGCACCCTTACAACAATTGACACACCCATCCGGGCTGGCCTCAGGTGCCAAAGTGTCACGGGTTACATGAACCCCCCCCCACTACACCCACTACAGGCCTGACAAACCCCCGCTAAACCAACGCAACAAACCTGAAGAAAAAGCAATTCCCCCTTTTATTAAACCCACTATAGAAACCCCCGCTAAACCAACGCGAAAAACCTGAAAAAAAGAAGAAGAACAAAAACAAAGCGGACGATTCGCTGGGGAGCTGCGCCAGCCTTCAAAGCCCTGCGAACCGGCGCCCCCCGGCCTCGGCAAAAGACCGAAAGGAGCGCGAGGTGACGTGACCGCTCGGGCGAAGAGGCATCCAGGGAAAAAGTCGAAAGGGTAGCAATTTGGGTTGGAATTTTCAATTTTGGGCCTCTCTCTGCCTAGAATCTTGACTGAGCAATGGAATTGGGTTGGATCCTCTTTGATTTTGAGGGCCTGAAAAACCTTGGAAGATGGAAAGCGCGAGCGGCCAAAGGGTTCGGAAACCTAAGCTGGGTCTCGTTCATGGATTCGCGTTGGGTCACCACGTTCTCCTTGCCTTTCTTTTACCCGAAGGGGCCTGGGTCGCCGTCCGCAAAAAGGTCACCTGGGGTGACACGACTGAACCCAGCATTGGAAAAACAGGCTTGGTTGTTGAAACGACCCCTCTGCAAAAAGTGAATAAGTCCTTTTGTGGGTCCAATTCGGAAAATCCGCTACCTGTTTGAGCCAAAAAGTTCAAAGATCCTGTGCCAAATCGTTGGTTTAAAGGAAAAGCTACCCGTTTATTGGGGTGGGTTTTAAAGGGAAGCCAACAGGAACACCAAATCACCATAAAAAGCAGGTGACATGGTCTTGGGGCAAGTTGGACTGCGGCCTCCCCTCTCCCGAGAGTCCTTCTGCGAAGCCGAGAAGCCGCTCAGAGTTCAGGGGGCGCCATTTTTTCGGAAACCGTTTGGGTGCATCTTAAAATAGGGGAGTCAACAAAGTGTGGTGGTTCTTGTGGTTTTTCCCAAGGTACACCTAAAAAAAGGCATGCCCATTTAGATTTGTCTCTGCATTGTGTTTACCCTGGGACTCCAAAGGCGGTCTTTATTACGGTGTTTTATAGAAAGACTGTTTCTTCTAAGCGGATGTGGTTTTACGGTTCAAAGCCTGCTGCAAAAGCACAACTGCCAAATTCAGGTAGAGGCGTGGACCTTGCCATTGCCCAATATTAAGTTTGGGTTCGGCTGAGGCGCTCAGTCTTTTGCACGATTTCATGCAACAAATCATAAATCACGCTTTGACCTTGGACCAAATTGCATAATGCCAACATGACAGAACAAACCAGCCATGCGATTGAGCTTGAATTTGTTTTGAGCTAGCCAAACAACCGGCTATGAGGTGCAGAAGCTAAGAAGGGCGCCCTGCTGCACAGAGTTGGAGCCTACACAAAACATCCATGTCGGCTGATTGCTTTGCAGGTGCGCACGTAATTGATGCGCCAACAATCGAAACTACTTTGCCTGAGGCCACCGCCAAAATGTGTAGGAACCAACATTAAAACTATCAAAACAGAAGTTAAACAGTTTTTGTTGTTTGTTGCGTCTACTCGGCATTTTGCTTTTTTTGGGGCCAAAACCACAAACAGTCTTTCACGGCCAAAAACGGTCTTTCACGGCCAAAACGGTGTTTCACGGTAGTTTCACGGCAATTTCACGATAGTTTCACGCTAACTTTCAGGACTGTTCATACTAAAGCACAGCAAGGTATTTTCAATCACGAGTTGTTGTCGCAATATGTTCAGAAGGATAGCTTCTTCAGTCGTCAGATAGCGAGATTGAATTCTTTGACAATCGTTGCTTCGGGCTTTTACGCTCAATGCACTACTGTACCATCGTTCACTTGGCACCTATTTTGCAATGCAAACTTGGGCATGATCAGTTACGCGATACCCTTACAGATATTGGAGTTCCAAGGTCGGTTCAGCTGGGATTCAGCTGTGATTCTGTCACAAATGCGCATCAGCGCAAACAGCAAAAATTGCCCTATAAACTTGATGTTGTAAAGCAAGCATATGTTTAAACACTTGACTCGCAGCATTGCCCCAAAACCCTCAATGTCATAGCTAAAGCGACTGTCTCGAGGCCAAAGAGCCATTTTATTGACAGGAGGGCTATCAAATTAATGCTATATTGCACAAACGGCTGTTGCTGGCCAAAAACGGTCGTTCCAAATAGACCATGTTAAAAACGGTCGAGGACTTCCTGGGTTTACCTATCTTAAAAACAGGGCGCCGAGCAACAAATGAACTGAACGGATGCGTCTGAAGTTGACTCCAGGTTGACTCCAGGTTGACTCCAAAAAAAATTGGAGCCTCCCCACCAAAAGCAGGATGATGGACTTTGGTACAGAATAGCGAACCTGAACATGTACAATCAGTTTAGGCCTGAGTACTTCCTGGGCGCCTTGCTAGAAGTAAAACTCTTGGTGGGAAATGTCATGCGTCCCTCTAAACTCGAAACAGCCAGAAGTCCAAGGGTGTCTGGGTGACCCGCTCAATGGGTACCGACAAGAAAAGAGATCCCTTTCGGCCAAATTCCCACCTTCTTAGTTTGCAGGCCATGGGCATTGCTATAACTTGTGCGGTTGGGGCCAAGGCTACCTACCCTTGCCATGTGGATTGCGAAACTCCTTAGGTAAATAATGGTGGTTTGTTTCAGTGGCTCACCCCCTACTTACGTAGGCTTGACAATCCACGCTCTCACCCAAACGATTGGACTAGGCTTCAGGCTCCTCCGCGCACACCAGGAACTGCGCGGAAGTGGAGCCGGCCTCCCGAACCCACCTGAGCCGCCCAAATATGCCGCTCGGCGCCATGTTTTTTTCCAAACCGGCATCTTCTTGGCACGGGTACCCTTCTGTTCACTACCATGGAACCTCACAGGGCGGTCCGGGAAGATCATTTTCCTTAAATCGACCCCCTCGTGGGTTCCATGATAGTGGACTGGAGGGTACCCCTATTTTGACCAACAAAACTCATGTCTTCGAATACCTCCGTTTGGACAACTGACAAATTCACCTGTCCAATGCGCCAAAAAAGCCATGGGAAGGTTATGGCCCATGGTCCTCCGTTTCGAAGGTACCAAAATTGGGAGCACAGTTGGCCCAGGGACTGCAGACTTAGCCAGCCTTTCATAGTCACCATTAAGTTTATATATATATATATATATCTGCTGCCCCCCTTGCTAGAATCAGTGCATTCCTTCTAGGGTCACACATGCACACTAGATACATCATACGAACACAATGGCTATGTGAGTGCGGTCACAAACAAGATTCCTAGGGAGTTAATGCAAAAAGAAAGGCTAAATGAGTCCCCTGCTTTGTATGGGCAGCATGTCCTGAGTCCCTCACGTTCTGATCTCCACATTACTGTTGTTCAAAAAGGAAAGATTCAGATTTGCCACCCATGTCATTTAATTTAGCTAGCTTCAAAGAAAGACATGGGGTCAGCATCTTTGATTGATTCCTTCTGGGGCCAAAGAACTCATCCAAATCATGACCACAGTGCTTGCATAAGCTCGCTCTTCCCCTGCCCCTCGATGACTGCCGGCCTCCTCCGAACAAGGCGGCTGAAATGGTGTCCTGCCACAAGGGAAACTTGGCTGTTCAACATCGGGCGGGTCTATAGTCGTGGACACCACTGCAAGGACCAGCTAGCGGGTTCTCTGAAAAATGGGGGCGGCCTTTGCGTCAGTCAAAGGCAAGCCGGAAGGAAACCCACCATTTCAGGGGACCACTTTGAGAAACGTTCAAGGGATTCGATTCGGATTGGTGTTGAACAACTCGCCAGACATGAGGCCACCGAATGGCAAACAGCCACCTACAAGCAACAAGCAAGTGATGAAGGTGAGATGTCCTGAAACAAACAAAACTTGGTGCCAAAATAGGGTTTCTAGAGAAATTGATGAACACTGCCATGTTTATTTGGTTTCGGAGAATGGTCCATGGCCTGTAAACCATCCGAAAACCGGTGGAAAATCCAACCAAGGGATGCTCCGCAAAACGATTCCTCTCAGTTGCGCGTCCAGTTCGCCCTCCAGACAAGTACAGCATTTTCGGTTGGAAGACAAGTACAGCATTTTCGGTGGCCTTTTGGAAAAGTTGGATGGCCCTGGTTGTCTGGGGCATAACACCCATCTGAAGCAAAGCTTGAATCTATGTTTAATCAAACTCACCTTTCAAACCAACGCCTACGCTCCTCAAGTTCTTGCGCAGAAGGCAACCACTCAAAAAGGCGACCTCACCTGGAGTCGCCACAGCCCAAAGGAGCCGAGCGTTGATTCAGCCCTCCGTGAAACAACGAATGGCATCCATCCAAATCCGGGGGCCCTTTTGCACCGTTCAGTGAATTCCACCCTTACAAATCCCTGTGGGGTTGGTGGGGTCCTTGCACGTGAACAGCGTTCCAGTCACTGTTCTAAGGTTCGCTTTGGAATAACCCCGAGGGTGGTTCTAACCAGGGGGGTTCCTCTTCAAGGAAGATTCAAAAAGGAAGCAACCCACGAGTCTGGCACATCAACAAACCCCGCTAAAAGGGATTCATCAACAAGTGGCTTGTTCATCTGAGAATCCCCAAGTGAAGTCGTCTGAATGAATCCGAAGTCGGGATTCAGATCGACCCGGCAGCTTTTTGACTTTTGACTGCCAGGTAGATTACCTAGGTCTTCCCGTAGAGAGATTAGAATAAGGACACCTTTTTTTTCTCCTGCAGGGGCTTTTACTAGAAGAAGCCTCCCAACCAGAAAAGGGGTGAGAAAGGGCACTACTGGAACCACCATTTCTGTACTAGGGGAAGCCTCCCAAACAAAAAAGGGGTAAGAAAGGGCACTACTGGGGGACCTAGTACTCGCCAGATTGCCATGGAACCACCACATTCATCGAGGGAACTCTCCTTGGACCCCTGACACATCGGAGCCGGGGCCTGGCAGCGTGCCGAACCGCAGATGCAGCACCTGCGGAAAGCGGAAAGCGCTTCGCTTGGACGGGGAAAGGACGACGCGGAAAAGGAAGGCTCACTTCAAATGGCCCAAAAGACCACCTGTGAAATGACCACAAAAAGAAGAGTTGTTGGGAACCCTGAAGGAAAAAAATGGGCCAAAAAAAACAACTGGTGCAGCCAAGAATGGCGTGCAAGCCTTTCAGCCGGACTTTAAGTGTCGGTCTCTTGACACCATGAAAGGCAGATGTTACAAGAAACCGCATGTGGGAAAAGGCAAAAGAGGAAACCGGTTTTGATTTGGTCATTGCAACATGTATTGTCTTTTCCGCATGTAATTGTTACAGAAACCGGCTTTGATGTCGGGAAAGGGAATGACCAACTCAAAACCCCTGGGAGCCCTGGCCTCCGACTTCGGAAATGCCCAGGACTTGGCCCACTCAAGGCGCCATCCGGTGCGAGAGAAAAAGCCTTGGGGGTCCAAGCAAACCAGGTTACAATTTGGGTAAGGCAACTGAGCAGTGACTAACTCACCCTTCCAAGACTGGTCTGCCCCCCCCCCTCCAGAAAAACAAAAAAACAGAAAAGGATGTGGCACCGTGGGATCCCCGAAATGAATGCCTCAAAAACCACCAGGACTTCTACACCTCTGGCCACTTCCCGTCAACTCTTCCACCTCCAGCGTCCGCATCTCCCGCCTCGTCCCGGCCCGGCATTAACCTGAGGCATCCGATCCGCGCCGGGCTCGCCGCTCAAACGGGGGGGATGGTTCCAACGGCTGGTTTCCACTGCCACCTTTTGGAGCTTCCAAAAAGAGAAACGGATGAAACCCGATGAACTGGGAGGCTACCCGTGGAGGGTTGCCAAATCCATATCCACTTCTTGAAATCATGGGAATGGGAACCCATCGATTGTTGGTATTTACAAGGGAATCATGATGGTGCCACTGCTGGATGGTTGCGCGTGCGATTGATATCGACATGCCCTGAAGATATATAGGAGCATGCTGATCGTGATACTTTGGATGGTTGCCAAATCCAGAAAGCGCACCACGAAAGGAAACCATGGGAATGGGAACTTATTGATTGTTGGTACAGGGGAATCATCTCTGAATCATCATTCCAGGGTTTATTGAGTGGTGCAAAATTACGTCCACTGTATATCCAGTGTTCCTTCCTCCCATCAGCTGTTGTGAACCGGTTGGTTGTTTCTGCTGGTTGTGTCGCTTGGTTGTGTCACGTTCAACTGACTATGAGGTCCAAGGTCCCAAACACCGCACCCCTTCGATGATGAGCCGCAACGTTGTCTGTGAGGCTGCTTATTTTCCTCTTTGGCAAGCCCTTTGTCCACTTCCATAAGTGTTAGACGGAGGTATACCTCCTGTTCAAGCATGGCAAGGATCCCACCAAAGGGGATTGTATTGGGATTGGTCCTTTCTTTGAATTTGGAGGGGGCGCACCCCCCTCCAACATGAGTTTCATGATTGGATGGCTTTCAACTTGTGGCGTCCTGTGGGGGAAATCATCATTTCCCAAAAGTCAAAGTCTATAGATCCAATCCAATTGCAGCCAAGATTAGAGCGCCCAAGAAAGCGCCTCCCCGAATCTGCATCCTTTCGGGGACCCTGTGCTGGAAGCCAACACTTCCCTCACTCAGCACTGCCCTGGGGTCTCGGGCGACACTGGGCACGCGTCCACATGGCCCGGGAGCCACTCGTGTTGCCGCCAAACCTCCGTCAGAGCCTTGCGCGTCGCAAAGGCGCAGCGCTGCACAAATCCAGCTTTGGGCATATGAATTTTCCGTTTGACTCTGATCCTACCACCCTCCAAACATGCAGCCGAACGGCAAAATCCGACATAACTTGGCCTGGGCTCCCCCAACTTTTGCGGATCGCTCTCAAAGGACAACCGCAGGACTCAAACTTGGCCGGTTGGCCCACGCCGAAATCATCTCCAGGTCCTCTTTCATATTTGGGTGTATTCATCTGTTGGTACCTTGCCGGCTGAAGAAACCTAGCCGTCACCTTCACCAGCGCCCAGCGCATCTTGATTGCTGGTGACCCTGCAAAAAGTGGACAACTTTTTGGGGGGTTCAGTGGAAAACCCCCGTCTTTTCCCAAAGAGTTCAAGTCTAAAGATCCGTTACCCAGCAGCAGTCAAGGCAGTTGGGGGTCAGGTTGGAGCCCTGGGACCCCGGAAGCTAAGGGGGCGCCACCATTTTGAGGGTCGCCTTTTTGTGGGCGTTTTCGCCACTAACATGGTCCAACCCCAAGAAGTGAGAAGTGAGAAATAGAAACCAACCACTCAGTTGTTCAGTGGCCCTGGAGGAAAAAAAGGGAACCCTTGTTTTGGGAAGACCATCTTAGTGGGGCAGCCACCCCCCAAAAAAAAAGAGGAAACAGGGGGCCGCTGAACAACTGAGTTTAGGATTCCAGAACCTTGATTCACTTTTTGAAGTCCCGCGCCTGCGACAGGTTGGAATCCAAATACTGCCAATGTCCCGAAACGAGGTGACCCTCTGGAAATCGGGGGGGGGGGGAGGGGGTGACTCAAGCTCCGCTTCGGAGAAAACCGCATCAAAACCTTCCTGACGGCAGTGTTCTATATGGGTGTGTCTTTTTTTGGGGGGGACCCCAACATTGCGGTTTCCTTTCAAAACTGAAAGCTGCACGCCCGGTGACCCCTCGAATCACATGTCATCTCCCCCAAGGACCAAAGTAGGTAGGGCCTAACCCGGCCAAGCCGTTAGCTGGTCAAAAGCTTCGCCAATCCAAGTGTAGTTCTTTTCCCCAAGCCAAGCCCCAAGGTTCTTTACTTTGTTCTAGGGGTTGATTCCTTGTCCATTCTTTTCAACCATCGTTCTTTTCCAAAAAAACGAGCCGTTTTCCCTGGGATTCCGGAGGTTTTCTAGAAAGAAGGATATCGGGAAAGAATGGGGAAGGTACCCCTAGATTTGTAAGGGCAACCTCCAGGCCAAAGTCAAGCCACCAGTGTAACTAAGCCACAGTTGCGCTTACTTGAGTGCAACTGTAACAAGGTCCAAGCTGCTTCTTTGCTCCCCAACCCCACAATTACCCTCCAGCGATTCCATGGGTTTGTGCATGTTAACCCCTGAAGAGGACGACTTTCCTCTTGGAAAGGGCCTTTTGCACAAACCCATGGCACTCGGCGGGCGCACCTCCCGGACCTCCTCCGCGGGGCGGTCCATCCGGGCCACCGCCAGCACCAGAGGCGGTCCTGGCTGAGATGGTTCTCCTTTGGCTCCGCCCCACTCCAAACCCCGAAGCCCCCCCCAAAGCCGACCCCTAAAGCCACACCCACCCGAAACCCGCCCTAAGACCAAAGTCCACCACCCCTCAAGCCCACCTAGAATCTTCCAAATCCCGAAAAAATCCACCCAACCCCTTGATCAAACACCTCGAAAATCCAATTCCAATATATTTTCCCCAAGCCTTCCAAGTCCCGAAAGTGCCCAAATCTCACCAAACCGGATAAATCGCTTGAAACCAGTCCAAAACCCTTAAATCCCTCTAAGTTCATCCAAATCCGCCAGCGGTCTGAGTCGCTGGTCGAACCTGGTTCGAAGCAGCTTTCAGGGAGGGTTCCCGAACCGACTCCCATACGAAACTATGGGTCATTCCCATGATTACTATATACTCTATCACTTTCAAGCAAAATCCCCTTGGCATTGCAGCCGCTTGCAACCGAAAACCCAACTTTTCCACAACCACGGAATATTTCAATGACCAACACCTGTAGCTGCCAAATCTTTAAACAAAAAAATGCACCCATCCAGCGACCCCGGTCCACTCAGCGAAAAATTGCGCCTGGCGCCGGAAGGAGACTCACGGCGACGAGGCCCAGCGCCTGAGGGTGGACTGGGACTCACCCCAGACATTCATGGGGGCTGAGGGGCAGGGAGGGGAGGGGGAGGGAGCCCTTGTTTGGGGCCTTTTTGGGCTCCCTCCCCCCTCCCCTCCCTCCCCATGAGAAATGAAAGGCTAACCTTTTGGAACATTGACTAAATGGACCAAATCAGGGAAACCAAAAGGCTAGAAGGTCGGCTCTAACCCAGTGAGGGAATGATGACCATATTAACCGAGCAGAAGGACCAGGTGATGGACTGCCTTATGCGGAAAGGCCCGCATACGTCAAAAAGCACCCCACTCAATGCCAGTGTCCAACATCGTAGGCAAGCAAATGTCAAGACCCTCATTCTTTTTGGCAAGGGCTGCCCTTGGGTACCTACTGCACTGGTAATCTTCCAGAATGGGCACCGTGCACTGGTTGCACCATGCATTTGACAACCGCCTCAAGGCCAGGTTCGGGTCCTTGGGTTAGGCCAAATGGCGAATCCATCCACGGAATCCAAAAAAAAACTACACAAAGATACACGTCCAAGTCAAGGAAACCAGCATGTGAAAAGGTCGGATTAGGACGACTCAGTGCTTGTTCTTCTTCTTCTTCTTCTTCTTCTCCTTCTTCTTCTTCTTCTTCTCAGGCTTGCCTCTTTTTTTTGGGCAGCTTCTGCTTAGAAGCCTTGAGTGCCCATGAACCGTCCCCAGCACTCAGGATCTTGGCGAAGTTGATCTGCCAGGGTGCGAAGTACAAAAAAAAAAACAGGGTAGCAATACCGGAAAAACACCAGGGGGGTCGACAGCCACCGAATAACACTACTAAATGTTGAAGCCTCGGGCAGGATTTGACAACAGCCATTCCGGCTGGGTATAAGAACTAACCTAGGCAGTTTTGACCAGTTGGTGATATCAAAAGGATATCACTGAAAGTGACCAGCGAAAAACCCAGGATCCCCATCCCCGCTTGCGCGCTTGCGCGCGCTTTTTTCCGAACCCGGGAGTCCGGGCCAGCACTAGCCAGAAAGCGTCGAGCCACAGCCTCCGCCGCAAAAACATCCGCAACCAAAGGTCCTGGAAACATACGCCCAGGCATCCCCAGCCCCGGAATGGAACCGAATCTCCTTGTGAACCCTCCCTGAAAGCTGGGCGCTGTTGGAAAAAAAGGAAACCATGTGGAAGCAAGAGACCCCGCAACTCGCCACAGCTGGGGAATGTTGAGCCCTCACTTGCGTCTCCAGGTACTGGATTTCCCCCTTTCAAGTTGCGACTGTACTGATGGTTTCCATTAAAACTGCCACTCTTGGAGGTTCAAACATAACAAAATAAACGAAAATATTTGGATTGACATCCCCTAAGTCGGAGAAGGCTTGCCCTCGCAAATGGAAGTGCACAACTCTCCCCACTGCCGCAGTGGGGCATCGTTTTCGGGGGTTGGGCCTCGGTTGTTCTTGCACCATCACCCGCAAGAACATGGGAGACACCCAAGCTCTAGGGCAAGGGCGCAGCCAAAGGTATGAGGATCGGCAGCAGCAAGGCCTTGGACGTTCTCAGCGCTTACCCTTTCTTAATAAAACTAATGATGAAGTGTGAACATTTACCCCCTCTCCCACGAACATAGCACCTGTTGGAGGGTACCTGGAAGATCAATTGGTTTCTCAAGGGGACCCTCTGTGAGGTGCCATGTTAGTCGGAGGGAGGGTAAGTGTTCCTCTCCCTCTCCTGTACCTGTGAGCAAAGAGTCACAGGTAGTTTATGGGCTTGTGTCAGGTCGAATTGGTTCTCTTGGTCATTTGTTCTTTGAATATGAATACCTTCCATTTTTGGACGTGGACAGAAGAAACCACTTGCAATCCAGCGTGAGGATTAAGGATTGCCTAACCAAGTGTATCCAATCCCCCGGATTGACGGCAAACTGATTAACCGGCGTCAACATCACCCTTGATCTTTGAGCCGTTGCAAAAAACAAGATAACCCCCTCAGGCAATGAGCAAAGCAAAGGAAACGGGCACCACGGGTGAACGTGTGAAAGCAAGTGGGGATACACCCTTAGACACCCCAAACAAGATTTAAAACCAACAAAGGTGGAGAACAAATATGCAAAAGGTCAGTTCATTTCGGTAAAACACAAAGAGAGCGAGAGAGAGAAAGAGCGAGAGCGAGAGAGAGGAGAGGTACGTGTTTTAGCTATCATCACCTCACCCAAATGGGTGTGTATGTGTGTGTAAATAGGAGATCCCTCAAAACTAACGGCACCAACCCCAAAATGGAGACCGAGCCTCAAAAGACGCGCCACCCGGCATAGAAACTCATTTCAACTTGGCCTGCGGTCGAGAGCTGAAGTTTGCAAGCGGCTTGCATGTCCCCAAACATCACGCCAAAAAGGACACCCACTTAATTGCCTGTTTGTTCCAAAGGTGATGTTTAAACCACCCAAGATGGGAATGAAAGGGCCGTCTACGTTTGCGCCCAGATTAGTTGATCGTGTTGGAAATCATCTTGAATGGAACTGGTCATGCCAAGGGAACAACTCTAAGCCCAAACAGTTTCTTTTCACTGGCAACCATGGGCCTGCAGAACTCCCTGGCCACCACACACAATTTGATGCGAGTCCGATACGTATTGTTTTCCCAGACACTGCAAACAGCCTAAGATGAACAAGCTTTGGCACTCACACACTTTGAAAGCGCTTGACACTGCATGAACATGTCCAATTCCAAGCCAATCCAAACAACATCCTGAGTTGGCTTTTCCCACAATGCAGTCACTGCATTGGTGTCAAGTCGCCCTGACTTTTCAAAGCTAAACACCTGCTGTACCAAGTCAGCATCACTCGTCCCTCCAGGGGCAGCTCTGCATCGAGGGCCCTGAAGGGACTTCCACCACGGGGAACTTTTCCATGCCGCCGCCCTGCGCCTGGATGAGGCTCCAGCTATAAGCCACCAGCTCAGAATCCGCTTGGCCCCCTTCCCACTGAACCTCGTTGCCAACGAGGTCCGGCCAGCAGCAGAAATAGAGATAGAAGCGGTGCCCTTTCCACTGGCCGGTGTGCCACATGGAGGAGCGACACCCCATCTCTCCACAGACTGACAGGGTGGCATTGTACTTCAAGGTCCTTGGATCTTGGCTGGTGGGGCTCATGTCCTGACTATCCCAATCAGCTTCAGGGCTGTTTGCAGACTGCCAATACGAGATGAAGCCTCCAGATGTCCAACGCTCCCGCCAGTTGCGACGCTCCGCATAGCGATAGCTGTGGGGGTTTGTGGCACTGTCATTGGTCACTGCCAGCATGTACACTGAGCGGTCTTGGCCGTCTTGGTCCCTGTGACTGTGTGGCACTTCTGGCGGCATCTCAATGCGATCACAAAGTCTCTTCTTAACACTGATGCCTTGCTGCAAAAAGCCGGTGTGGCTGATGTGCGGCTCATCCTCGCACTGATCTGTTGGCTCTGCTGCCAACACGCGGAAGAAGGCAACAGCAAACGCGAAGTTCAGCATCGATTGCATGCGGCGGGCAAAGGTTTCACGCCAACTGGAGCCCAAATGCAGGGGTCCTCAGAGTTGACGCAAATCTGCTGAGTTATGGAAAACCTGCTAAACCTCTGAAAGGCAAAGTTAGGGACCAAATGACGACCGCAAGTTGACGGGGGCCTCCAGGTCGGGAAGCCAACTTTCATTCTATATTCGGGCGGGCGGGCGAGGCGGGGCGGGGCGGGGCGAGCAGGCGGCCGGGGGGCCAGAGGGCCGACGGGCTGGTGGGCTGGTGGGCCGGCGAGTGGGCGTGCGGGTGGGCAGGCGAGCGGGCGGGTGTGCGGGAGTGAGTGAGTGAGTGCTTGAGTGGGTGAGCGAATGTGAGGGTGAGGGTGCGGCGGATGCGGCGGGTGCGGCGGGGTGGGTGCCAGGCGACGGCCGTTTGACGAGGACTGCAATCTTCTACGCAGTTTGTTTGTCTGCACAGGAATTGTGGAAATCAAATCGGATGTCCTCCAAGAGGGCTTCTACACATTTACAGGGCCCCTCAAACACACGCAACCCAGTGCTTACCAAGCTAGTCCACTTCCTTGCCATTCGCAGGTTGCGAGGCATAATTTCAAGTGGAAGGTACCTGCTTGATTTTCTGAATTTGGTTGGTGTCAAAAACAGGTTGGACAAAATTGGAGACCTTGTCCTCATTGAGAAACAGATCCCGACGCAAAACTTGAAACGCGCAACAGGGTGCACGCAACCTCGTGTTCCGGACCCTTCTTCCGCTACGTGCAAAAATGACACATTCCCATGCGTTCGGCATTGACCGAGAGCAGCTCGCTGAAAGGTTGATTTCCTAAAACAGTCTGGGCCCGCCAATCAAACTAGCGGCAACACTGGTGCCCATCTTGAGTGGATCCCCTTGGCCCGCCGCATGGCCGTGGTTTACAAGCAATGGGCAAAGGCTATGCTCAAGCGACCAACCCGGAGGGGCAGAGTTCGAACCTTGACCAGCAAAACGGACAAATCGCCAGCGCATGTTCCAACAAGTCGTGTGTGTGTGTGGACCCGTTTTCCAGACAGCGCAGCGAACCTTGACTATGGGACTGGAAGAGGGGTAGAAAATAGCCTGTGGAGATCCGGGTTTTGGGCGTGTGTCCGACTCGGTGGCCCAAACAATCCAGGTAGTTTCCCTTGAAATCAACCCGAACAGGGTACCCTCAAAGGACGATCCTTTTTGGTTTGAAAGGGAAACAAGGAAGCCCACCATTTTTGGGGAGGTTTTTTTCCCCCCTGGTGTTAGAGGGCAACACTCAACCCCGGCCATTTTGGGGGGAGGGGGGCGGCGTCCCATTTCTCCAGGCACACCTGAGTCACAATGAAAACCTGGCACAAACATAGTGAACCCAGAACCATGTAAAGAACTAAGAAGGCGGCCGCAGGTATTTATGGCAAGGGGATCGTCCTTTACTAACCTTCATCTACCCGAAGCGGTTTTGAGCACGTGGCACACCTTTGGATCGCTTTGCTGAGCTTTCGGGCCCAGGGCCCAAAGCCGCCGGTCTCGCCTCGCGCTTCCGCGATCTTCCGCGATCTTCGCGCGCCAAGCGGCCCTGTGAGGCTGACCCCGGATCTAGGTGCGACAGAGTGATGTCCACTCGAGTAATGCGAGGAGTGAAAAGTGGATCATTACTCAAGTGGATCATTACTAGAATCCCTGTCATAACCCCCACCCCGGGTAAGTGAGTTGATGTCCCTGACTCCCAAGGATCAGGGCCCACAGTTGTGTTTCAAAGGAAGCTAAGGCATTCCAAGTTCCCGGGGGGGGGGAAGCCATTCGAACCACAAATACGCGCATCTTCCCTGACTTGTGATGTTGACCCCGGATCTAAGTAGAACCCCTGGTTCATATGGTATTCGGGCCCCACAAAGTGAGTTGTTTTTTCAATTGGAGCTAAGGCATCCAAATCAAACAATAAAACATCCAAACCGCAACTTGCATTTGTCAATCCACGCACCTGTTCCGAACCGGTGGACAATTCTCACCAAACCGGCCCAAAGGACCCAGAAACAAAAGGTGAACCTTTTGGAGCCATGGCTAAACATGGACCAAAATGGGTAAGCTAAATGGTCATTTCAGGTCGGTCCGCTTAGAACAACTGAGAAACCAAACACCTGCCAAAAAAAGAGGGCGCTTGGGTGAAAGCCGGAAGCCGCCTCCTCCCCAAGACCGTTTAAGGGATGCCCATTTTTTCTTGCTGGCTTCCCATTCAACAAAAACCAGCCAAGAAAAAGACAAGCTCCCCCGGAAACAAAAAGGACAAACTCGAATACCAAAATCGAACCACCAACTCCATAGAATCAGAAGGACACAAATGACAAATCCTTGCCCCTTACAAAAACCCAGAGCCGTCAAAGGTGGTATCACCTTTTTGGAGCCTTGACTGGACTGGGAACCCGTTTTCAGGGGAAACCCCCCAACGGCTTGGGTCAAAATCTGATCCGCCCGGCCTGGCTCCAGGATCCGCAGGCCCTGACGCAGCTCTCGCCTAAGGACGCCCAAGGGACAGACCCAGGAGGTTAGGGGGTTGGTCGACATATGGCTGTGGTGTCAAAATAGGTACCCAAAATGGGACCCTGGCAAATGGAAGCATGGACCAAAACCTGCGGTCCATATCCTGGTGGTTTGATTTTGAACCATCTCATATCTTGGCCCAAAAAGCCGCTGGGAAGCACAGAAACTAAATACTCCATGCTTTCCCATGCCCAATGCATGACGCATGGTGGTTCAAACCAAACAAGGCAAGAAACACAAACTTGTTCAGATTGCGCTTCATATTCTGGTCTACCCTCAAACGTGAAATCGATTTGGTTCGGAGACCCGGTGCAAGACAAATGCTGACTGGGCGACTCGCGATGATGCAAAACAAGGCGGTCCAAGGGACGGCCCCATTCGCCCGTTGTCGGAAATGGTGAATTTACCATCCCCACATGTCGGGTACACACTTTCTGTGAAACAGGCCCTGGTTGACCTTTGCACTCTGCTTTCACCTCGGTGTATGGGTGAAACATGTGGAAGTGGTTTGTCACTTGTATATGCCACTTGTAGATGTCACTTGTACAACGGCTACATGCCCGTTGTGGCGTATAAGCCTCCAAGCCGCCACAAAAGCAATACTCCAACATTTGATGCTGGAAATCCAAACGCCTCTCCAAAGCCCCACGCGTTTTCCGGCGAGAATGCCTTGATACGGCCGCAAGTCCCGATGAAACTGGGTGCGGGGGAGTCCCTGAGCAACTTGGATGTTCAACCCACTCAGCAAGTAGGCTCCAAACGTCCACGAGGGAAACCAACCAACCAATTACCAATCAAATATGATCTAACCATGGTTACAAGCAACGGGCTCACCATCCAAGAAGGGGACTCCTGCTGTGGATGGACAAAACCCCACCATGATAAACCATTCTTGGTATTTAGAGGGGAGTCATATCATTCCAGGGTTTCTGAACGGTGCTGCGACATGGATTTCCATCCACATGAAAATCATCTAGGTCCTCCAGTAGAGAGGTTAGAATGAGTTGGTATCAACTTTTATTTTCTGTAGTCTATTTTAGTAGGGGAACCTAGTCATCTTCTCCGGGTCTGAAGTTTCCCGGGCCCTCCGGCAAGCGGAAACCCTTGCCGGACATGGCCCGCTCCAGCGCCTCCGCGAAAAAAAAAATGGAAACAAAAAACGCTCACCGGGCGTCTGAAGGCCTCGCGTTTAGAGGCAAGCCCACCCCCCCCCGGTTGAGGGCTGGAGGTTTTCTGACCAAAGCTCTACACCTGGCCCCGTATTCCGTGCTGTCCCCCGTGAACCAACCCTAAACCAACTGAAAGCAAGCCGAAACCAAGCCTACCCCACCAAAACCACCCCAAAAGCAACCCGACCACCCCCAAACCAATTCTGAACCAACTGGAACTAATCAACCTAAATCCATCTAAATCAGCCCTAGACCCATGATCATTGGAGAGCTTCATTGTGTATTGTAGGGACTATGTGAGACTATTTATTTGAAAAAGACAAGCTGTTGAGAATATTTCTACGTGAAAGATAGATTCTCCCTAAATAAAAGAGCAGCTTTGTGAGATTATTCGGAAATAAAAGGAAACTATATGAGACCAATTAAATTGAAAGGGAACTTATGTGAGACTTTATAAACCACGGAGCAACCATGTGAGACTATTCGTAAATGCGCCTAACAAACCCTGAAATGATGACTCCTTTTCCTGTCAATACCAACAGATAATGGTTTTGAATGGTTTGTAGGTGCAGGAGTGCGTCCGTCCACAGTACTTGGTTGACGTTGGAAGGGGAGCAACAATTTAAATTTTAGCAGTTAAGTAGGGATTTCCCACTAAACCACAATAAGCACAAATGTAAAATGTTTCCCAACGACAACCATGAGTAGGGGTTGCAAATAATGTTCATCCCAGATTGATGAATAGGTCATGGTTGACCAGGGGTGTCCCCTGTTGGAGGAGGGGAACACCCGGTAATAGGATGGGTGTATAAATCCGGGGTCAACATCAAACAACCAGGGGGCCATGCGTGTACCTATTTCATCGGGATTCCATTTACTTGAGTACCATGGCACCGTAAAGTAAATACATGGTCATAGGTCAACTCCAAAACTTACCGTGGTCCATTTGGCATCCCTTTAAACCACGAAAGGGTAATAGCCAAATAGGTGGTTCGTTCTCTTGAAGGCCGGACACCCCCTCCCCCCCCCCCCCCGAAACATCTCCCGTTTTCACTTTTCAATGGAGCCGGCCACAAAGGGGGCAGCCTGAAATCAAGAAATGGCCCTGGCCCCATTGCAGCTCTCGGTGCTTGTTCTTGGTAGCCTCCCGAAAACCGCAAAACCGAAACCGCGCGCCCGCTCCCATGGCCTGGGCGCAGGTCTTGAGCTTCGCCTCCTGCCAAGGGCTCCCCGGCAACGCCGGCTCCGGGGGCTCCTGGGGCCAGGGACTGTTCGCCCGCCCGCCCCGCCGAAAAGCCACGGGCCACAGAGCCAGGGGTGGAAAAAAAAGAAAAACAGGAACATCCAGGCTTTCGTTAAAAAAATATTGTTTCTTTGTTCGCTTGTTTGTAGGTTGGTTGGTTGGTTGGTTGGTTGGTTGGTTGGTTGGTTGGTTGGTTGGTTGGTTGGTGGGTGGGTGTGTTTGTTTGATTGTTTGTTTGTTTGTTTGTTTGTTTGTTGGTCGGTCGGTCGGTTGGTTGTTTGTTTGGTTTTGTTTGTTTGTTTGTTTGTTTGTTTGTTTGTTTGTTTGTTTGTTTGTTTGTTTGTTTGTTTGTTTGATTTGGTTTTTCTTTGATAGCGTGTTATGTAAACCAAAACCCTTTTGAGCTTCGGAACGTGGCCAGAAACGCCAACGAGTGTTTAAAGAAAGACGGCAACAGAAATCCCACCAGGGAAAAAATAAACTGGGGAACATTTAAGGAGTGCTGTTTAAAGAACCCCCGCCCTACAACAAAAGGGAAGAGAACAAACACAGCGTGAAATGTGCAGCAAGGGGTTTTGAAGGGAAATGACAAAGCAGCATAATTCGATGTCCCCTAGACCAAAACCAAGCCCTCAAAACTGTTGCTGACATTGGTTCTTCATCCCATTCAGTTAGTTGGTGTAGCATGTGTAGCTGGTTGGCAACGCGAAGCAAACATATGCTTACCTGACATGGGCAAGGGGAAGTACATGCGCCTGGCCCTTAAGCTAGAAAATTGAAAGAACATGTGCGATGTTTGATTCACAAAGGACAATGGGAACCCAGCTCCATAAGGTTCTGGCTGGCTTTACTAGGGCCACGACTCAATCAAGCAGATTTCTCCAGGGAAACGCCGCCGCGGCTGGCAGAATGTGTGAACCCATATGTAACCCCCGGCTTCAGTAAATCCTCCCCCCCGAGCAACTTGGAACCACAGAACTCGACCCATTTGTAGAGGATCCACTTGGTGGGCCCTGCTGTTCAAATTTTGCAGAGGCACCGTTGACGCCCCGAAGCCTGGCCGGGGTCCTTTGGTGTTTCAACAAACTGGTCAAAGAGGGCTGAAGCCTCCGCAAAACCTGGCTGTTGAGGAAGAAAAGGCCCTAAATGGCCCTAATAAACACCTGCTTGCATTCGGCCGGTTGATACTGTGATGGGCACAATCCTGCACCGGCTGATAAGTGGTTTACTCAGTTTACTCTAGGTCCTAGGATTCGCAGGCTGTGAATCCCAACTTGCGCAGGATTTGTCCATCCACAGTGGAGAACAACCAAAATGGGCCAATGTCCGCAACTAGGACTGCGGCGCTGGTTGAAGTTGGCAGCTGGCGCCTCAACAGGGTCTGCACCAATGGCATCGATGTTCCTTTTGTCATCCCCTTTTGCTATGGTTTTAAGGGAGCCTGCAATGACCCCTACCCTGAAAAATGTCAGCAACAGGCAGCAGTCACACATGTTTTCCGGCTGCAAGCGGTTGGAACTCGACTTGGGGTTGAGGCGGCTCAACGCGCGACTGCTTGAAATCTATGTGTTTGGCTTGCGGCCATTTGTCATGACACGACAAGACCTCTCAAGTTGGCCGGGAAAGGTGTTTGGGGCGCGGCGCCCAAATGAAAACCAACTGGAAATAGGAGGCCCCACCCACAATAAACAGGCAAATCCCCATGTCTATTCCAAGTTCTTGATGTCCCTACGGAAAATCTCTGTAATGGCGATTGTCTCAGTGTAAGCACACAGAAAACGAGAACCAGGCCCACACAGGCCGACAAACCGGCGGATTACATGCAAAGGCGTCACTAAATCTATCAATGAGCGCCAAGATGCCCCATCGTTTGACGCCTTTCGAGCCGGATGACAGAACTATGCGCACATCATGTCCATTCCAATTCGATGCAGTGATTCCGCAGGAATTTGTGTTTGCGTGCTTCTTTTCGCGCGCTTACACCATGGAGTCACATGCATGATCATTACTGTCGCAGTTTAGCTCAAGGCCTTGCATTTCTAGGCATTTCTGCATCACGCCGACACATACACACAAGGCTTTCCCTCGCGCGCGCGCGCGCCATGATATACATCTCCTTTACATGTAACCAAGCTCTTGGGACATCAAACACTTGGAATAGACATGGGGAAAGAACGGTATATGCAGTTCTTGCAGGCTCTTTGGAGCCGTCTTGGTTGCTGTTGACCCCCTGCAAAAAGTTTAACTTTTTGGGGGTTTAGTGGAAAACACCTTTATTTCCCAAAAAGCTAAAGTCCAAAGATCCAACCCAATAGCAGTCAAGCCGTATTTCCCCTCCCCGGCAAAAGTCGCCTGCTGGTTGGGGTGCTTTGGGCTCTCTCTGCCACGATCCGGCCGGCGGCCTGGCTTCTGCACCCCGCCCTCTCCCGTTGCACGTGCGACCAACCACTCTCGGCTGGAATTCGGACCAGAGCAAAAAATACATTTTTTTGGCCCAGGTAGTGGAAAACCAAGGGGACCCCAAAAAAGCAAAACAAAAAGGGGAACTCATTCTGGGGAAGTACTGTGGATGGGCAGAATCCAGTTCGCACCGCCCAAGACACCATGGGAAACCATTATTCGTTGGTATTTGCAAGGAATCCGCAAAAGCCAGGAAATCTTAGGTGGTGCAGAGTGTGTATGGTCACATGAGAGCTCCATCTCATCATCCTACTTTCCTCTCGAACTGCGCCGCGCGATTTCTCACGAAAGTGGTCTGCGCAAGCTGCATTGTTCCAGGCTGCTGCGCGCAAGTTGCTCTCTGCAAGCTGCTGCGCAAGTGCTCTGTGCAAGTTGCTCTGCGCAAGTGCTCTGCGCCAGTTGCTCCGCGCAAGCGCTTTGCGCACCGCGCAAGCGCTTTGCGCATGTGCTCTGCGCAAGTTGGTCTGTGCAAGTTGCTCTGCGCCTGCTCTGTGCAAGTTGCTCTGCGCAAGTGCTCTGAGCAAGTTGCTCTGCGCAAGGGCTCTGCGCCAGTTGCTCCGTGCAAGCGCTTTGCGCATGTGCTCTGTGCAAGTTGGTCTGTGCAAGTTGCTCTGCGCAAGTGCTTTGTGCAATTGCTCTGTGCAAGTTGCTCTGCGCAAGTGACTCTGCGCAAGTTGCTCTGCGCAAGTGCTGCCGGAGCTGCGGGGGTGTGCTCCGCGTACTACGTTTGTACTTAAAAGTTGCGATTCTCCAGCCGGAGCTGCGGGGGTGTGCTCCGCGTACTACGTTTGTACTTAAAAGTTGCGATTTTCCAGCCTGAGCTGCGGGAGCACGCTCCGCATACTACGTCTGTACTTAAAAATTGCGATTTTCCACCCGGAGCTGCAGGAGCACGCTCCGCGTACTACGTTTGTACTTAAAAGTTGCGATTTTCAAGCCGGAGCTGCGGGGGTGTGCTCCGCGTACTACGTTTGTACTTAAAAGTTGCGATTTTCCAGCCTGAGCTGCGGGAGCACGCTCCGCACACTACGTCTGTACTTAAAAGTTACGATTTTCCAGCCGGAGCTGCAGGAGCACGCTCCGCGTACTACGTTTGTACTTAAAAGCTGCGATTTTCAAGCCGGAGCTGCCGCGGACCAGGGGGGAATCGAACCCGCGACCGCGGGATTGCGAAAGCAGGCGCGCAAACCACGAGACAACTTCCAAAGGCCGTTCCGCGAGCAAGAATATTGCACGGCGCCACAGCGAGAGCGCTTCGACACGCACAATCTCCGCAGAGGGTTCGCCGAGACTAAGACAAATTCGCGCGGCGCCACAGCGAGAGCGCTTCGACGCGCACGATCTCCGCAGAGGGTCGCGCGCGGCCAGCAGAAATCGTAAAAAGTCCTCAGTTTTTGAACCTCGACCACGCGAATCTCCGCAGAGGGTCGCGCGCGGCCAGCAGAAATCGTAAAAAGTCCTCAGTTTTTGAACCTCGACCACGCGAATCTCCGCAGAGGGTCGCGCGCGCATGCTAAAAATCGTAAAAAGTCCTCAGTTTTTGAACCTCGACCACGCGAATCTCCGCAGAGGGTCGCGCGCGCATGCTAAAAATCGTAAAAAGTCCCCAGTTTTTGAACCTCGACCACGCGAATCTCCGCAGAGGGTCGCGCGCGCATGCTAGAAATCGTAAAAGTCCTCAGTTTTTGAACCTCGACCACGCGAATCTCCGCAGAGGGTCGCGCGGCATGCTAAAAATCGTAAAAAGTCCTCAGTTTTTGAACCTCGACCACGCGAATCTCCGCAGAGGGTCGCAATCCCGAGCGACGATCAAACTCCCCCCGGCGCCTTAGAAACCTAAACTAACTTACATAGCTGCTAACGCCGAAGCTGTAAGCTCTACCTAACCTTGGCTCTATGTAACTTGGCTCTATGTAACTTGGCTCTATGTAACTTGGCTCTATGTAACTTGGCTCTATGTAACTTGGCTCTATGTAACTTGGCTCTATGTAACTTGGCTCTATGTAACTTGGCTCTATGTAACTTGGCTCTATGTAAACTTGGCTCTATGTAACTTGGCTCTATGTAACTTGGCTCTATGTAACTTGGCTCTATGTAACTTGGCTCTATGTAACTTGGCTCTATGTAACTTGGCTCTATGTAACTTGGCTCTATGTAACTTGGCTCTATGTAACTTGGCTCTATGTAACTTGGCTCTATGTAACTTGGCTCTATGTAACTTGGCTCTATGTAACTTGGCTCTATGTAACTTGGCTCTATGTAACTTGGCTCTATGTAACTTGGCTCTATGTAACTTGGCTCTATGTAACTTGGCTCTATGTAACTTGGCTCTATGTAACTTGGCTCTATGTAACTTGGCTCTATGTAACTTGGCTCTATGTAACTTGGCTCTATGTAACTTGTCCAAGGGCTCCGCACGGAAGAACCCTTCGCGATGCTTTCGGGAACTTGCCTTCAAGTGACCAAAATAGTGAGTGATGTTTCTTGAGCCACCAAATGGAGAACAAAAAATGGAGAATCCAAAGGAAACCCAAAGAACCCCCCCCTGCCCCGGGTCCGGCCGCGCCAAATCCGAGCGCAACTCCGGGCTGGTGGCTTCGTGGTTTCGTGTCTTCTGTCCGGGCCTGGATGCGCTCCACCCACTCGCAGGCCTCCTTTTCAGTGGTGCCGGAGAGGCAGAAGGAGCGCTGGCCGCCTGAAGTGAAACATGTTTTCTGGAAACATACATCCGAAAGCTGTCCGAAACCGAAAACTGCCACCTTCTTACACAAATCCAAACATCACCACCTCTACTGTCCGAAAAACGCCTCCTCGACATCAGCTGGGCCTTTCGTGAGGTTTGAATTGTGGGACCTTTGAGACGGTGCGGAGGTACAACCCACAAGCTGCTCCTAGCCTTGGCATTTACAGGAAAGGATCGCAAGGTCGATGTGGACAAGTCTCCACAGTAGCGCAGTGAAACTTACTAGCTAATTAGCCACCTAGCTGGCTAATCTAGCCAACCCAAAGCCCAGGAAAATTGAAAGAGTCCTTGCCGGGTGGACATTCTAAGCCTCTCCTACCTGACCCCCCCTTGGTTTAAACTTGAACAAATTCGCTTCTTGGGGCGCCTCACAAACCTGTATGCACCTAGTTTGGAAAGCAGCTCCCGCGCAGCTTAAGCTTGCGGGAGCTAGCCCAGTTGCATACCGGCGGCCCAGAAGGCAATGTAGCAAAATATGTGGAATCACCTCTCTTTGGTTGGCTTACTCCGTGAAACAAAAGTCCAGAATGAAAATGGACCGAACAACTAACCATTCTGGGATTCATTCCGTGGCAGAACCCAAACCCACTGGGTTACAAACCGAAAGGGATTTAGGGGGAATCCACTGAACAGCTGGCAGCTGGGTCCCGATGGGTCTTCGTTTTGTTGGGAGAGTACCCTCATTTGGGGTTGGCCTTGGAAAACCTATATGCTATACCCGATCCCAGCGGATGAACTGAACTGAGCTGTGGGCTCTTGGAGACTGCGAAGGTGAAGGGCCGGCTCTGGTCCCTCAGCCACTCCACCGTGACGCCGCCTCGGGGCTTCGGCTTCGGCTTTGGCCGAAGGAACCGACGGAAGCGAAGCCGCGGCGATCGATTCGAAGGCTGGACAAAAACGAGAAAGATGCGACCAAATAGCAGGGAAGAAATCGCCTTGCCACACCGGCCTCATGGATTTTGCAATCAAACCAGGTTGCCAGGTTCAGGGGAAGTGCTCCAGTCAAGTCTGACAGCAGGGGGAGCCCCTGGGTTTGGGTTGGTATTGGGGGGGGGTGTTTGGCTGCTAGGGAAAAAACCATCCTGTCCGCGCTAGGGAATTGAAGGGATTCCCTCAAACAAGGTTTGTACGTTTTACAACCAGTTCAACACTTGTCGCTAGATTTGTAGCGCCGTTTGAACTCGCGTTTGAGAAGAGAAAGAGACAGGGCCACAGCCTCCACCTTCCATGCCGGAAAAACATCCGCCCTGAGCCCCCGAGAATGGACTCCGAGGCCACATCTGCAAGGGGCACTTTGCAGGTGCAATCCGCTGTGCTGCTCTTGTCGCAGCCCTTGAGTACTTCCAAGGGCCCCCTGGATTGAGAACCTGTGGGAATCACGGTGATGCGAATCAAGAACACCAAACTCACCAAGCAAAAAGCACCTTTGCCCACGACCCTTGGCTGCCACAACCACAAAAAACAACCAAATAACCCGCAAAACACGTGAAGTTCCATAGGTGCCCTCTGGAAACTCCGAGCTAGTACGTCATTCGAAGCAAACTAAACCTGTGAAACCTATCCTCACCCAAACTCAAGGAAATCTATGCCAAATATGTGGAGGGCGAGGCTGAAAGCATCGGAGGTAGGCTTCAGGTTGTGTAGCGCCGGCCGGGCCGGGTCGTTCGGCGTTGGGGGTACAAAATGCAAACTGACCAATTTCAAAATCCAGGAAACCGAACTCTTTGGAAAGCAGTTTTGAGCACTCTCTAATTGTAACGGCTTTCTCGGGTTGCCAGTTGAAACACCATCCAAAAAAGAGCTTTTTGTCAGGGTCCCTGTCATATGAAAAACCAACAGTTTGGGGTTCAAAATGGCAGACTTCTTTAGCTGGCATCTTGTTGGGTAGCCGCGCTCAGGTTGATGGCGTCCCGAGGCCGTGCTTCGTGCTGGGACCGGTAGTACTGCAGCGTTTGACCTGTCCGGGTTGGGTTGGGTTGCGTGGGTTGGGTTGCGTGGGGTTGGGTGGGGAAGCCAGCAGGCAACCGCTCAGGGAACAGCCCCTTCCTTGAACCAAAGATTCGACCAAACAGCTTGAAACTGGTGGGGAAGCTGAACCCATCCTCTTCCCGGATGAAGTCTGTCAATGTGCCTGCCCGGAAAATGGGGGGAGAACTGTGAAGGAGTGAAAACAAGGTTGCACTCCTAGTCGTCACACGGGTCTGGTTGTCTCGGCAACCCCCAGGGATTGGAGACTGATGGTGGGCATCGTGTCTGCACATTTTTTTGTTTACTTCCTTGGGCATTTGTTTGCTGGGCAAGCAAGACAGCATTCAACAGAAAAAGCTCCCAGGACGAAACTCCGGCAGCAAAACACATGCTGCCGGGTTGGTTCTATTTCTATTTTGTTTGGTGGAGCATTACTCCTCCACTGCCTGCAAGTCAAATTGTTTGGGCAGGACATTTTTGCCACGAAGTAAAGTTTGTAAATTGGAATTGGCCCACTCAGGCTCCCTCAGCATAATTTCATTTACAAGATGGTGAGAAGGCCTTGTCCTCCATTGACCTCTCACCAGGCGTGATCAGCTGATGATCATGAACAGGGGACTCATTCCAAGAGAGGATGTAAGCTTTAATTCTCGCATATGGATTCTGAGCGAACCTCCGTCAATCATTGATACTGTGGATGGAGGAAATCCTGCACCACCTAAGAAATCCTGGAACGATACAATCCCCATGTAAAAACCACCAAACAATGGCTTCCAATGGTTTCTTAGCTGGTGAGAACGGATGTCGCAACCATCAACAGAATCACCATCCGCATGTTCCTATATATCTTAGGGGATGTTGATCAATCGCCCGCGCCTATCAGCAGAAAGTACCGCAGGTTCCACTCTTTGTTCAGAAGTCCGTCGCCTTGGGCGTTGTGCTAGCCACGGGGTGCCACGGGTGCCTTTGTGCTTCACCTCCGCCAAACAGGAAGCTCATAACTTGTGGGCTAAATGGAAACCCCCAAGCCAACTAAACACAACTAAACGCCTAAGGAACCGGCCGGGAACCACCAAGTCTTTTCAAGGGCGAGCTATCCCATCAATCTTACACTCAGTTGCCCCTTAGGGACCCAGAACTACAAGGTGATCACCTTTTGGCACCTCTACTAAAAATGGACCCACATTCGAAAACCAAAAGGTCAGATTTCGGTCGATTCGCTTCGGACCAGTGAGGTAACGAGTGGCGACTGGTGCCCCGGGTAATTCTTCCAAGCAGTTCTGGATCCGGGCCCGGGAATGGGGCCCTCTTTCTCCCGAGGGCGGGCAGGGTTCTACTTGTTGACTACCCCAAGATGGACTCTTACCCCTTAAAACTCCAAGCAACCTGGGGAAGTTCTCATCTTTTACAGACACTTTTCGCCCAGGTTACCCAAAAAGTTGAGAAAAGTTGTGGTTTGAAGAGGTAAGGACTTAAACCCGGGAATTCTCTGGGTGTAAGTCTACCCGGGGGTAGTCGAAAAGTAGAACCCTCCACGTGGGAATCCCTGCAAGGTAGGGCAAGAACTACCCCGCGGGCTTGTTCCGTTGGAAGTGGAAAGCTGGGGCACTTGCGAGCAGAACCTTCTGGTAAACTGGTGGGAAAGACTTTCGTGTCGACCCCTGATTAATAACCACCCCCAGCAGTTCAATCAGGGGGGTCCCCCTGAAAGAAAGGAATCCATCCCCACTACAAAGGGACCCTCCCTGAATATTAACTAAGGGGAGGTTATTACTCTGCGGTCGGCGTGGCACCTTAGAAACAGAATCACTTTTTTTGGTTGCACGCATTCCCACCAGAACGCCTCAAATGCTTCAAAGTACTCCTTTGTTTGGGTCAGCAGGCTGAAGAGTTGTGCCATCCACTCTCACCTAAGTGCAGTGAAGAATTTCCTTTCTGTAGCTGCTCCATCCTTACATCTCGCGGTCTTCCGGTTCATTTGGCTCGCCGAAAATTATATTGGGGCGTGCACATGTCCTTCCAAAAGACCGGCGGGTACCACTGGGTGACAACCTCAAACAAAAACATACCGAAGCTTCTAAGCTTAGTTGCGTGTCAAGGGAGGTGCTCTCCTGAGCTTGACGCACATTTTCAAGGATGGGAGGTGTCCAGACTGATCCCCTGCTAAAAGATGGGTTTAATGGGCACCCAACCACCAAACCAACCAACAACATGTGTCTTTCTTTAAAAACAAAAAGTAAGCAACCGGATGGCTGGGGTTTCCACCAAGAAGTTCATGGCCAAAATGGCCGAGGATGCCCGAGCTCCCGCGCCGAGTTTGTAGAGGAAGCCGTTGTGGAAGGGCATCCCCTTGGCCAGCGATGGCTGCACCAGCATCTGGCGCAGGCCATCGATCGATCTGCCCGCCCGCCCTTTTCACGTGGAACCGTGGCCCGTGTTTCTTTTAAAGGGGCCATCCTCCTGGCAGGTTCCTTTTTATGAAAAAGGGTGGAGGCCAGGGGGGGTTGTTGGTTTGGACCATGTTCCGTTTCATACTGGGGGTGGTTGGTGCCCGTTGGGGCTGATGGTGCCCGTTGGGGCTGACTACCATGTCCCTACCCAGAACTCCTGGTAGCCCCCTCTGGGTGGCCTCCTCCAGCGTGTCGCTCGGCTCAGTGGCGATGGTCCTCTTCGGAGTTCGCTTTTTTTTTTGGAGCGAATGGCCACCGTCAGTCCGCCAAAAAAGAAGAAGAGGAAACTGACACGGGTCAAGGTGTCTTTTTTTCCCCGCAGTGCTGTTGAAGGAAAGGGTCAAGGTCAGAGCTGTGGGAAATGACCACTGCCGTGACACAACGGAAAGGGCTTCCCAGAGACTAACCCTCCATATAAAGGGGGAGATTCCCAAACGTATCACAAAAGTGGTTGGATAACCCCCGTGTGATCCCACAACTCTGGTCAAGAATGCTGCTGACCTGGGTATTTGGTAAGGTTTGCCGTAAGGTTTGACTGCACAGCCGCGACACCGCTCGCCCTCAGGCGCTGGCAAGCCACCGTCACCTGACGCGACGTTTGCACGCTTGGAGCCGGGTGAGTCACAGGTCTAGAAATCCAAGTGACATGTCCCCAAAAAGCTGAACTTCAACTTGGCTGATGTGTTTCCCCAAAACCGATACCCACAATACCAAGCAAACAAACAGGCAAACAAGCAAACAAGCAAACAAGCAAACAAGCAGGCAAACAAGCAAGCAAGCAAGGAAGCAAGAAAGCAAGGAAGCAAGGAAGCAAGCGAGCAAGCGAGCAAGGAAGCAAGGAAGCAAGCGAGCAAGGAAGCAAGGAAGCAAGCGAGCAAGGAAGCAAGGAAGCAAGGAAGCAAGCGAGCAAGCAAGCAAGTAAGCAAGCAAGCAAGCAGGCAGACAAGCAAGCAAGCAAGTAAGGAAGCAAAAAGAAAGCTAGCAAGCAAGCACGCAAGCAAGCAAGCAAACAAACAAACAAACAAACAATGACTTCAACACCTAGTACTAACACCTCCTGTTGGCTTGCACACCCCCAGAAGTTGGTCCGATCAAGGTGGCATTGGCAAGCTGTGTGAGAAGCTCAGCCCCGACCCAACAAGCTGCAATTCCAGGAAATCCGGGAGTGAGTTCCGGGGAGACTTAACGGCGATCTGACCCCAACGGGAGCAATGGGAGGGATCCTGCAACTGGTCCCTCCAAAAAAGGTCCGTGCAATACAGGACGATCCGAGATCCGAAAATTATCGTGGAAACTTGGGGGGCCTTTGCCCATGCTTCGCCTTTTCCCATGCCCAAAGGAAAGAAAAGATTCGCCTTAGACCTCCGCAAAGTGACCACACTAGGCCCAAAAGGTTGCTTCTGCCTTGGTTTGGACAACTGAGTCTCCCGGCAGCAAAATCGAGGAAGGGATTGTTAGCTTCCCACTAATTAGTGGTGTGGATGGTGGTTTTGTGGTCGGGGCTCTACAAGAAGCAGGGGCTCAAATCCAAACCCTCACCAATCCAAACCACTAAGTTGGGGAAACCTGAGATTTCTGATGTTGAGTTCAGATTTAAAATGAACCCGGCGGATGATTTTTTGGGGGGGGCAACTCCCGCCAGTGATGCGCTATCCCCTACATGGGCCGCGTCCCTGTTGACCGAGAAAAGCCTCACCCGAGGCAAACCCAAACAGTGTGGCCCAAAAGGCGGCTCGGCGGTTTTACCCACTGAATTTGACTTTGTTTGGAACGTGTAAGCAAAAAACAAACCACTGTTTGTTGGCCCAAAAGCAACAAACTGAATACATAAACAAAGAAAAACATAAAGTAATCAAGTACATAGCTGAATACACAATATTAATAAATACATGGTACAATAACACAAATCGAATCTTAACACAAAAACACTTTATATTTTGTTATACTAGAGAATCATACGTATACATAACCCAACACTGAAACCCAAAACGGGGATACCAAATTCACTCCCTTCGGCCGCTCATCCCAGGGCCCGTGCCTGAAACTGCAGGCTCCGGCCCTGGAATTTCGGACACAGCTCCGCGCCCCCGGAGCCCCGACCCAAGCGCCGTGCTTTTTCTTGCTGGTGCGATGGGTAGGGGATGAGAAATGGAATGAAGCTGGTTCCGTTCGGGGCTCAAGCCTGGTTCCTTCCCACACCGTTGTCATTCCCTGCCCACCTGTGGCACCAGCAAGAAACTGGGTGACTCTTCCTCCAACTAACATGGCCCCTGTGGGGGGGTACCTAGAAGATTCATTTCCTTTTGAAGGGAGCCCCTGTCTGTTGCCATGTTAGTTGGAGGGAGGGTAGGGGATGATGAACCGTTCGGGATTCCCGAATAAAGGAAACCACCAGTTGGATGGTTTATAAGGCTCACTCCGTTCTCATTCCCTGCTGAGCACCAGCAAAGAGTATTGTAAAAACATATTCCGGGTCTATGTTAGTCTTTCCCAGGGGTGTTTGGGAGATGTGTATGTTTGTATGATCCAACAAGGTCAGTACATATCAAGTGCGAAACCAAAGGCCTTTGGAAGCTGGGCTGGCACAAATGAACAAATTACTCGCCCCTCTCCCCCATTTCAGTGCTTCTACTTCTGTAGTCCATCTTGCCCCATGTGAGTCCGTGAGTCCTCTTGGATGTTGATATCCAGCTCGTCAAATTGAAGGACCGATTGCAAGGCAGGGGCTTGGGTTTCGCGCGGCTGTAGCTGTTGTGTTTTTTTTGGGGGGGGAGATGTTCTTCACCTAGGCATTTGACCTAGCTGTCGCGAGCGTAGGCCCCCTTGAACTTGGAAAGGGGTGTCTTCAACCTCTAGGGTCTTCCCCAAAAAGAAGCCTTGCGTAGGACGCTTCCTGCAGTACCCTTACCTGCCCCCCCCCCAAAAAAAAGAGAGAGGAACCTAACAGTAGAATGCGGCAGGCCCTGGAACACTTGCGCAGAGTACACAAGTGGTCTGAAGTGGAACCGGGGAGGCAAGGAGCTGAGGCACTCGGCATGCAGAAAACATGCGCCCTGCGTGTAGCGGAACAAGTGTTTTTTTTGTTTTTTGCAAATGACCATGCATTTTAAGAAACGAGCAAGCCATTGTGGAGGTGTCGTCCTCGGGGCGACGATCTACGTGTACCCTTTTTTGCCTGAAGCTCAACTGGTGTCAGTTGATGCAAGTGTTTGGATCCAAGAGTCCTCAATGGCTGCTTGCTCGCTCGCCTGTTTGCCTGTTGATCCTGTGGTTGGCCCCTGCAAAACTGTGGACAGCAAGCTGCACCCTGCTGCAGCTAAACCACATTGACGCCCATGGCAACCTCTACCTGCCGAGAATGCTGGTCTCTCGCGGGACCCGCTTGGCAAGCGTTGGGGCAAACGAGTCAAGGAGTTGCCACGTCCAGGAGCCCAGGAAGTAAGCAAAGGCCCAAAAGTGACCTGCGAGCAGCGCCCCTCAACCCAAACAAACCGAGCACTGGAATGACCAATGAAAATATTGGGCGCTGTTCACGTCACAGTGTCATGAGCTGAAGTAGCACTAGCATCCTGGGTCTGGAATGCCCTTTGCTGCTTGCTTTCGAGCAGCATTGCGGCAGAATGGCGGACGGACGAAACGCCCCGCCCCCCGCCCCCCGCCCCCCGACCAAAACCCGCCCGGCGCCTCGCACTTCCGCGGATCGATCCGCGGATCGGTCCGGCGACGGAACCGGGGTCCAGGGGACCCAAGAGGCCGCCTCGCGGCTGGGCTGGCGGCCTGGCTGGGGCCCGCTCGCAGCTTCCATTGGCCTTGTCGCCAAAAAGGGAAAACATGAGGACATCGGGCCAGTGAAAATCGGTTCCCTTTAAAACCAACAAGGGAAAATAGCGACTTCTCAACATAGTCTTAAGACAATGGAATATACTGGCCCCATGATTCTACCAAAGTCAGCTAAAGGGAAACCACCAAACCGCGAGTCAGAGGGAAACATTGAGCATGTCTTGCTAAAATCGAGGAGCCAGTTTATCCCATCGCAGGCTTGTGAGATCCCACCCTCAGATTTGAGCAGCCGACAAACCCCACGTCAAAACATAGAGTTACCCTTTGTAATTCAGTGGATGGGTGCAAAATCTCCATTATCCAACGTAAGTATCAACAAGCAATAGCTTCCGTTAACAATGGCTTCTGAGGTTGTGCGAACAGATTTCGCAATCATTGAAAGCATTGCTGGTCCCATCCGAGAAAACATGTCGTGCCTATAGGCGCTGGCACATCTTCAGGCCTGCCAGCACACACGGGACAGGCTCCATGGTCCCGAAAATGTGGAGTGAAGTTTATTGCTTGTAGAGGTCTCACCAGTGTGTGTGTGTGTGTCAAAAGTTTCTGTGAGATCTTTCACTTGGTGAAACGTGTGCTTTCCCGTCTAACCTAGAAAAAGCTGTTCAACTTTTGCCCAGGCAATCATTAGCGAACATTGCTTACCTGTGGGAGACCTGCTTTGCATCGATTTCCTCTTGAAGGGACCCCGTCAGGCGCCATGTTGGGATTCTGAGCAGTGAACGTGAATTGCCGAATGATGCTAAAAGACATCCCAGCTAAGGCGGCCTGGGAACGGGTCAGATGGCCCTGCACAAGAACCAGGGGTTCAAATCCACATCCAAACACCAACCAAGGTTCATCTGAGGTTTCCCTTGCAAGCAGCCCCCAACAAACCCCGGGGCTTTCGCAGTCGACCGGTCCCGGGGATTTGGCGATCTGGTGCCCCGGCCGCTCCAGGATCGCCCGCTTCACCGCCACCTGTTCGGTCGCTTCCAAGCGAAAGGGAAACGGCCCAGTTTCTGACTTTGATCATTTCGGGGATCACAACAAGTGAAGAACTTTTCGCAGGGGGTCAACAGCAACCAAGTCCCGTTATCAAAGTCACCCCCCCCCCGCCTGGTAGGGTAAAGGGAAACGGCCCAGGAAATGTTCAAAATCATGGGCCAACTGGTTATTCCTGGTTTCTTGTTGGCGCCCTTTGAGCACAGATTCCTAGGTCTTCTCATATTGCACCCTTCCCTCTTCTAGAGGTCCCTAGGTTGTCCGGGCCAGTGTTTGGGCTGTTGAACCTTTCCAAGGGAAGTGGACATAGGGGGTAAGGCCAAAAAGGGGCAACCTCCAAAAAAAGACGGGCCCAAGTGTGTTGAATTACTTTGGGAGTTGGGGTGGGGAGCCCCAGTGGGGAGTCGCATTTGCCCTCCAAAAAACTCGCTTCCGACCGAGTGGATTGACCAAAAGAATGTAACCGACTTGTTTAATAAACCTCCAAAATTGTCCTCCCAACAATTAGAAGAATCCCAGTTTAGAGCCATAAAACCCCACGCCCATCCAAATCGTAGTTGCCTGACTTTGGGTTCATTCCAGCTTGCATGCTTAGTGAAAGGAAAGTGAAGGAAGACCAGAAAGGCAGGCCAAGTCTGGCAACGCAACTCCCTCGCGCATACCCACCCGCATTCACAAAACAAATCAAACCAAGACCAGTTGAATCGCACCTACTCCCTCGTCTCGGAGCGTATCCTAGCGCGTCGCCATCACCAGCTGCGCTGGCCGGTCACCCTAGCACGCGCTCGCTGCGAACCCGCACGCGCAAGAGGCTGCAAGGTTGCTTGCCCAGACACTGAGCATGCACTCACCCACCCTAGCTTGAGCGCATGCGTGCCTGCTTGCGTCCAGCGCTTGCGCGCGCGCGCCCGGACGGGTCTCACACCGAAAGCCAATCAGACCAAAAATGCATCCCCGACAGCCCGTCCCAGCCCCACAGAGACCGGTGGAAAAATGAAGGGCCGCGCTTGCGCCAGAAAAACCGCGCACTCGATCGCAGACTTGCCCGCCATGTCAGCCTACCGCCAAAACCTACTCTCAGGGCCATGCTTGAAGGGTTTGAGCGATGCAGGGGCTGGAACGCCCCAGATGCTGGTGATGCAGGGAATGCCGGGGATGCTGGCGAAGTTTGCTAGGATGCAGAGGCTGTCCGGGGCGATTTGGTGTTTTTTGAAGGTCGGGAAACGTGGCATCAGAAGCCCGTCGCAAGGCCAGGGAGGCCGGGGATGTTTTGGGGTGAAGTGTTTGGGCCGGCCCGCGTGCAGGTGATGCAGGCAATGCTGAGGAGGAGCTTGGGGTGCAACAAAACACGTCAGCGGTATACCCTACGGGTAGGGTTGCCCTCGCTCTTCGAGCTCGAAGACACACAGCCCAGCTGGATTTTCACGGGCACCCTTTGTTGATACCGGGCAACCCTTCCCAAAGGGAAAAGTGGTACCTGAGTCTTGCCTGCAGGTGTCTCTTCAGCAGCTTCAGCGCTTTCTCGGCGCCAGCTCGCGCAATTCGGCTCGAATAACGCGAGGCCAAGGGCCTGAGATCGGACTGATGGAAACGTCGCTTTTGCGAGGCGGTTGCTTTGGATTGCGGTTTGGTGCCCCGATTTTTAGACATGCCCAACGGCCGTCTTTGAGAAAAAATCGCAAAAAACAAAACAAACACATGCACATGATGAGCCCCAAACCTGAAGAAGATATTGTCATGGGGAAAACAGGGCGCCCTTTTCGTGGCAGTCGATTCTGAAGGGTTTCACCGCCATCCAAAAGAAAACAACAAGGAGCACACCGGACATCTGGGGCGAGTCACCTGATTCGACATGTTTTTCTTGCTGGGGGGGGGGGGTACCTGAGAGCCAAAAGGTCAAAGTCAAATGTGGCGATTCTAAATGGAAAACTGGAAGGCCCAGCCCTGATTCGACCCCCGCTGGTGGCACTCCTGTGCTCAACTGTTTGGAGTTCAGCTTCGATGTGACTCAACTTGAGTAACTTACCGTTCAGCTCAGACCCTCCTCTCTTCCTGAGTCGGCACCGTGAAGATCGCAAGCTTACAGGGGTTTGATAACTTGTTTGGTCGACAAGTCTAGCACCCCAAGAAGGAGCATGGTTCCCGGTGTTCAGCTCAAAAGGCCCTGCTCTCTCGCTTCCTCTCTCTCTCTCTCTCTATCTCGGTCCATGTTTTGCGGTGGGTAAAATGGAGTTGCAGAATGGCACCTTCAAACGTTAAAACCATGCTGGAAGAGCCTAAGCCAGCACTGGGCTGAAGGGGGCCAAAAAGTAAGTCATGATCATACCAACCTTGGGTTGCGGGGTGCCCAAAACAAGACATGTGAATCATAGGAGCACAATGTCGGCAACTATTCTGACCCCAGCAACCGACCAACAGAAGAGGCGGCGGCCAAAGCAGCGTGGCCAGGAAGCCTTCCGCGAAAAGCTAGTTCACATCCCCCGCGTGATATTGGTGTCCCGGCGATACAGGATACTGATGCTCCGGCCGGATGTCCACTTGGCAAGGCAATGTCACCCCTCTGAGTGCCTTTGATTGAACTGCAGATTGGCATTTACCACCTCAGCGACGAGGGATTTAGCCCCAGTTGCACACCACCATGGCGACAAAGGAGTTTGATTTTGCGCACGGTACTGGCCGTTGATCCCCAAATATGGTACCTCCACTCCCACGTTGCCATGGCACCAGGGACCCAGTACCCTGAAGAGAAATCTGATCTTAGATCAATGCCTTCGGTTTGTGGGAGGAAGTCCGCTGGTTTTTCACAGCGTCGCGCCTCTGGCGTGCAGGCGGATGGATAGCGCGCAGTACCTCAAGGGCCCCATGCCAGGAATGCGGCGCTTGGGCCGCTTGGGTTGCGGGGCGGGCTCCAAAGACCCCAGGGAACTTGATCCGACCCTTGCGTTGCTCAAAAGGTCAAAAGGGCAACTGGAAATACCCCGCAAGTCTCAAAGAGACCTGTTGGGCTGTCAGATTCCAAGTTGGGTAGGTACAAGATCCATCAATCCATCTCTTTCTCTCTTTCTCTCTTTGTTTCTCTCTCTCTCTCTCTCTCTCTCTTTTCTCTGTCCTTCTCATCTCTCTCTCTCTCTCTCTCTCTCTCTCTCTCTCCCCCTCTGGCTCTTGCACATCCCTCGCCTTTTCTGCGCTTCTCTGCCATCTGCCCATGCCATCCGGCAGAAATAAGACGGCGAGGAGACAGGCTCCGAAATCGGAGCGATCGAGGAGCCCGCTGCATCTGAGGGCTCGCACATCTCATGGCTTGAACAAACAGACTTGGAGGGCCACGCGGCGCAAAAAATTGCTGAGTCAAGGGAGTTGACTGGAACATGTGACGATCTTTGGGGCCATGCGTCCAACAAAAAAACACCAGGATTTTAGACAGCCAAGGACGTGGAAAACCGTCACCAAAGTCCTCGCATCTGCACAAGCAGAGGCCGCCCGCGCCTACATTCTGCATTCCCAATGCCGCCACGCGCGGAAAGAAGCTTTTCCCGTCGAGCAAGGATTTGGAATCCTGAAGCATAACGGCATGTAACGGGAAGCAACCATTTACATGTTGAATCCAACGGCCCCTTCTTTTGGCCACCGCTTCTTTGAACCACGGCAACCCCGATTCTGAAGCTTCGGAGTCTGAGCCCGGGTTCGGTCGGACGCCTCACCCGCTGGCGGTGGCAAGCTCCGGCTTGCTGGGCTTCTTCAGCCGCGGCCAACTCTTCGTGGTGATCACCTGGAGGGGGGGCTTTTGGCCATCTCTGGAGACTGGGAAGCTCGAAATTGGGGGCCTAGCTGGTATGTTCAACCCGCTGGCGTGTGTGTTCACCCCCACCCTTTTCACATGGAACCTGACGTTGGGGGCTCCCTTTGAAGGGGAAAATGGTCCAAACCAGGACCCCCCCCCAAAACGTCAGGTTCCATGAAAATGGGTGGCAGGGCAGTATGTAGGTCAGTGAGATGTCGGTTTTTAGGCTGGTTCGGGTACTCCTCGAGCAAACCGGGGTAGCCCACGCAACGTGGACGTGGTAGCCACTCCAAGGCGTGCCACAACCACGGTCACAACCAGTTGTTAAGCTTAAGTGGGGGCCAGGGTGGTCCGTGCGGCCCATCCGAACATTTCAGAAGGTCGTTTCCAGCTAATTCCGCCCACGTCCTACACACTTATTGGATTTGCCAGGTACGCGTGCCAAAGGACAAAAGCACACATGCGCCATCACATAATTCCTGGGGCAGGTCCTGGGGAAGATGGGAAATCATAAAGCCCCTCCATCCTCAAGGTGTTCTTTCTACTTTTGTTTCTCGACCACATGAAACCACCTAAAAACTTAAGTGCCTGCAAAAGAGACACCCACATACCCATTTCCAGCCTCATCGATGATGCCGTACCTGGAGTCTTGGCCACATGCCAGCCATGCGAGAGGGGGTCAAAGGGACTTGGGTTCGCAGAATCCAGTTCGGTCGCCCAAATGGGCGCACACCAAACGTCAAAGACCCTGCCAGGCCAGAGCTTTTGGTAGATTCCCGGTGGCTTGAACAGTCAAACCTCCCAGTGAACTGGCGCCCGAAATCCTGCACTTGAAACCATGTGAAACCATAATTTGTTGGCATTTGCAGGAGAATCATCATCCAGAAATTTCTTAGGTGGTGCAGGATTTTGTCCATCCAGTATCTTACCCCAAAACATTCTCTAATTGGCTAAAGGGAAACACGCCCAGTTGGCTTTGATTGAGCCCCCCCCCGCTCGCCGTCTGAGCGAAGATACCCCCGAAAGCAGCGAACAAGGGCCACTTGCAAGAGATTCAATTCAACGGGAGTCACTCCCCTGCAAGAGTTGATCAATTTACTGTAGTTTCCCTTGAAACGATCGCCACTTTTAGAGGTTTTAAACAGGGCAATGGCTCGGAAACCCTGTTCAACCATGTGTTGCGGGCGCTACCCTGCATTGGGGCACTCGGACGCCTCCTCCGGAGTCATGTAGTAGTCGCCTGAGCCATCGAAACATGCGAGGCGCCGATGGGTCTTTAGAGGAACCTGAGGAACCACTGTGTTTGCTCACCTCATGATGTATCCCAAGAAGCAGTGATGCATTGCGTTTGCCCCCTTTCTGTGATAGTACGATTGATTCCCCAAGCATCTCATGGAAACTGGCCCTTGAAAACCAAGCAAGCCAGGTGGGAAGATGTTGAAAGGCAACATAGGCACCACGCTCAGCCAAACCTCTCGCCGAGATCGACACAAGCGAAACTGGCGTCCGGAACCGAAGTCTCTAGATTGGAGCTTACTCTTACAGCAGAAAGGATTCTTGCGCGGGACACGTGACTCGAAGAGGAAGGAACCCCTTCCTGAAGTATGCTTGAAAGTGTGAGAGTTCAGTCTGACCGTGCAGAAGGCGTTTGATTCATTCGAGTGGCGGTCGCAATCCTCTGCTACCACATCCAAGCTCTTCCCGGTGAAGTCTGCCAAATACCTTGGGCGACCGCCATTCCCAATGGAAGTGCCTTCAAAGTCAGGGACCACGCCCGACCCCCTCCAGGCCATAGAAGATTCTTGCCATCCCCGACCCCAAATGGCTGATTTGCAGGCTCCGCAGTTCAGAAGGTGGGTGAAACATTGAGCAACTTCTTGAGCGGCTGCTTATATTTCGACCCTGGGTTAACAGGAGGCTTGTTCCCTAGGCGTCAGGGACGCACCAAAAAAAAGGCGGTTGAAACGAAGGAACCCTATGATGTCTTTGGAACCCTTTGGCACCCTGAATCAAATCTGTAACACTGTTTGGGACCATAGGTGACCTTTTAGGGCAAATAGATGGCCCTAGTAGATGATTAAACCACCAGGTAAACCAGGGCCATCTATTTTTCTACCAAAACACACCAAAAAGGACACCTATGTTTGGAACACGCCCACCAAGAGTTTGTACATGTTCGGGCCTCCAATTTCCCGGGCGAGCAAACAAAACCCACAACGAAACTAGATGGCACAATTCGCACAATTTGAGATATTGTCATCCCATTTCGGATTCAGGCATCCCCTTTACTTTCCCACTTCAAGGAACACCAAAGGAATTAATCTCCTTTTGGTGAAGCAAAAGGGAGTGACTAAGCCCATTTGTGCCATGTACGTCCACCCGACCCCTCAAACCGGTGGATTTCCACAGTAATTTGTTGGTTTGGATGATGTTGACGGGAACCCCCAAAATGAGAGGCACTGGGCGACTGGGAGCAAACCAGGGACGATTGCCTCTTTTTTTCAGGGATGCGCCAAGCACAGGGAAGCTCCCTGCCTTTGCAGGGGAGAGGGGCCCGCAATTTCACTTACCCTAGGCCCTCCAGTAGAGAGGTTAGAATAAGTTGGTACCAACTTTTTTGCTGTAGTCCATTTTAGCAGGGTCCCGAACCCTCCCAACCAAAAAAGAAACGGTAAAAGTTGGCACCAATCGCTGGGGGACCTACCAGGTCCCACCAAACCCGGGCGCAAAATGGGGTGATCAATACCCGGCCACGTGCGTTGAGGGGGGCCTGCCTTTGGGGATTCCCATCTCCCGAGCTGCGTGTTGAGGATGTCCCGCAGGAACAGGATCTCCTTGGCCTGGCGGCAGGGCGCCCAACTTTGGCCATCGCTCATGGCGCAAAGCGCCAAGGGCCATAAGGTAGATCTTTCTGGTGCTGCCAATTTATCATTCTTTCCAGGGATCCGGATCTTTCTGGTGCCACCTGCCCCAAGTCCATTCTTTCCAGGGATCCGGATCTTTCTAGTGCCACCTGCCCCAAGTCCATTCTTTCCAGGGATCCGGATCTTTCTAGTGCCACCTGCCCCAAGTCCATTCTTTCCAGGGATGCGGATCTTTCTAGTGCCACCTGCCCCAAGTCCATTCTTTCCAGGGATCCGGATCTTTCTAGTGCCACCTGCCCCAAGTCCATTCTTTCCAGGGATCCGGATCTTTCTAGTGCCACCTGCCCCAAGTCCATTCTTTCCAGGGGTCCGGATCTTTCTTTCCAGAAAACCTCCGGAAACCCATGGGAACGGGTTTCCGGTGTTCGAGAAGAACGATGGCTGGAAAGAATGGGGAATCAAGCCTTAGAATCTTGATGTGTAACGCACGCTTTTCTGGATGTGACATACATCGTATACATTGAAATGTGCAGATGTACATGTGCGTTTTCATAGGTACATGCTCCAAAATGAAAAAGCCACCTGCGGCTTTCTGGTTCCCAGCCACTAACATGGAACCGTCAGCGTCCATGCTTGTGGGGAGGACCCAGCCGTGTCTGGGCTTGTCTTTAGGAAGCCATCAAAGTTGTTTGGGTTTGCCGTTGGTTTCCGTTCCAAATCACCCATAAAAGCGTCCCCTCAAAAAGACACACCCAACAACAAACGTTGTTCTTTACAGCCCCGCCAGAAATCACAAAGCCAAGAATCGAAACACGCACCTTTTGAACAAAGAGGCTTCAGGTGTCTGGCACCTCTTCAAGGAAAGCCAACATGGGGATGTCTAAACAAACAGTTGACAATTGTCTTGGTGGCTACTGCCTGCCCCCTGCGCTGAAAGCTTAACTTGTTGTGGGCTAAAGGGAAATCACTTCTAACATTTGCACAACAAGTGACGCTTGAACTTGCTTGAAAGCAGGCTTCCCTACATTTCCCTGCGCACTCTACGAGAAAACCTCGTCTTAGATATGGCCAACATCCAAAAGGCGAAATTTCACGTTTTTGGGAGGTAACCTTTTTTCATGCAGAGTCTAGGAGCCACCCAATTCTCACTTTTGGAGGCGCAATGTTGACCTATATTCATCAACCCCTGTTTAATACAGTGGTGG